CCGCCCCACGCAACAGGGCGTCGGCATGCGCGGCACAGCCAGCTTCGCTCGGCCCACCCGGACGGCCCACCATGACACGGAAACGGCAACTGCAAAGACAAATGGCGCTGTGTACTCCGCCTCCTCCTTGGTGGGGTACACGTATCGTCCATTCAGCAGATATGGTTGCCACTCGTCACTGGCATGCACATGGTGGCATTGGAGGGGGGGCCATGAGGATATCTCTGGGATGTTGTGACGAAGGCGCTGCCTCTTGCATCGGGCTCCTCCCCAACAACAGGCATCATAATGAGTATCCGCCCAGAGCCCTGTGCGGAAAGCTGCCACCTCTTGCTGAAGTAGCCAATGCAAGCTGTTCACCGGATTCTCTCGCATTGCCCCAGCTCCTCTCTCCGCCACCTCTTGCATGACTTGCAGCATGAAGCCACAGGCATTGTTGTCACGCTTGACGCGGTGCTGATCCGCCGGCGACAGGCCGTCCAGTCCCTCGGGTTGTCGAGTAGAGCGGAGGGGACCTGGGCCCCGGCGCCCATCATCGAACACCCTCGGCACCTCCCTCGCTCTGCTTTTGGTGGAACAGTCGAACGCCGCGGACACAAAATCGGCCTCCTTGAGCTGCTCCCTGAGGCTCTGCTGCCGAAGGGGGTGTGCCAGATCATGCGAGGAGTCCAGTTGAATATCCAACGTCAGGCAGCGCCATCCACAGAACAGGAAAGCTTTCGTGAGCGGGGCATTGGGACCAGAAAAGATGTCTGCCATCAACGGCGATTCCGATCCTCGGAATCCGTGCTAGACCCCGAGGAGGGGGTCGCCTCCCCCCCTCGGAGCCCCATCAGGCCTTCACTTTCTGCTTGCAGTCCTTAGCCCCATGCTTCGTTGAACCACAGACTCGCTCGCCTCGAAGGACAATCCCGCACATGTGCCGATCAGGGCACTTGGCTCCTTTGTTGCAACGTCCTTGCTGGAACTCGACGCACAGACGCTTGCCATCCTTCATGACTCTGGCCACCTTCTTGCCCGCTACCGGGGTGCCGAGCTGGAACGAGGAAAGTTTAGGCGGGCTCGGTAGCTGGGTAGTTACCGCGGCCAGCATCTTCGGTGTGGGATTGTGGGTAGATTCTCCTGGGCCTCCGCTTTGGATGGCGATCCAGTGCGCGTCTCTGAGATTGAACACCTCACGAACGACTTGGCCGAGTGTCTTGGTGGACTCGCGGAACTTGGCCACCCAGACTGCCCTCTCCTCGGAGTCTCTCTGCTGCAGCCAGTCCAGCCGCTTGTGTGCTGGTAGCGAAACCACCGACCTCTTGGCGCGGTAGTAGTACTCCATAAGGACGTCCAGTGGCGCCTGGACAAAGATCGTGGAGTCCGCTCGTGTGCTCCTGATTGGCCTGGGGCGCTCCCGCCACCTAATCCACCCCTGCCAACGCGTAGGCTGTCAAGAGGATGTGGAGGCGGTCGAGGTAGTTTTCCCAATCGTGCGGGATTGACTCCTCCTGCTCCGTCTCCTCCGTGAACAGGCCGTCCCCCAAGCGTCTCTTCTTGCTGGTAGTAACCAGCTGGAACTGCAAGCTCTTGACCTTCCATACGGAGAAAACGCACAGGAGGCGCTTGTTTAATTCTCGCGTCACTCGCGAGAGTGTTGCATCCGAAGGATAGAGCTCGGGGGGGAATCTGGTACGATACCTGCGCCAGAATTGCTGCTTCATGTCACGCAGGCTTGTATCATCCAAGAGATCGTCCAAGTCTGATTCGCCGATTTTGGTCCTCCCTGCGTCAGCATGCTGAAAGAAAACCTTCACTGCAGCCCAGGTGCGCCTCAAACGTGCGGTTTGCACGCCCTGGACATCGCCCAAGTTGAGTCTCTGAACCCAGACCCCTATCTCGGCTTCCGACTCGAAGAAGTACCGGAATTCCTCAAGGTTCTTGAGCTTGGCCTTGACCAGGGCCTCGAGGATTTCATCAGCAAATTCGAAATTGAGTTGCAGCGACACAAGTGTAGCACGAAAATCAGCGCCGTCTCTCGGCACTAAGTGAAAAGTGGCCACTCCACACCCCTCCACTAAGGATCGGCCGGGCCTTGGGCTGACAGCTGCGCGAAATCCTGCGAGATCGAACACAGTGTGCAATCCTGGGGGGGGGGGAGGTGTGAGGGCTTAAGAAAAGTAAAAGAAGACTGTCGTGGACGCATGCACTGCCTAGCTGCCCTAGCTCACAACAGCCACTCTGTTGCATGGCAGACACGGCTGGCTCACAGCCAAAACCACATGCTACACCGCCCCAGGCCCTAGCATGTGCGCCCCTGACAATCTTTTGCATGGCAACCTATGTCGGACGGGTACGCCCCACTCCCTACGACAAGCTCTGTGCTTATCCTGGAGTCCTAAGAACGATGCCGTTTCAGCACCTGCGAGGGTCACGACCGGAGCCTTATCAGAGAGTGGAATGCGTCTCTCTTAAACGCAGCATGTTATCCACCCGGTAACTCCGGGGGATTGATGTACAGCCCCTCTGCACACTCACTTTGGGTGGAACTTCGCTGCTGCCCGCTGGAGGCAGTCTTTGCAGAAGGGACGATCGTAGCCCTGGGCTTCCTCCACGGACTCAACCTCGGTCACATCCTTGAGCCTTTGGCTAGCAATGGACCCTTGGCGATGCTTGCAAAGAGGCACTCCTTGCTCCACTTCCAAGTGAATCTGGGACCGGTCCGTGAAGATGAATGCTCGAGGGGATGGCCAAACCTTGCCCGACATGCTGTTCTTTCGGGTGTAGCGGACCCACTTCGCCACCGTGCCCTGAGCCATTGCCTTGTAGATCTCGACGTCACGTAGACGGCTGACACACCTCTGGGCTTCCTCGAAGCTGATGTTGTCCACCAAGGCCAAGAGGAGGGACTGCCCAGTGGCAGCTCGATGGCGGCCAGCCATGCAGTGGCCCAGGACACTACCTCCTGTGAAGAGGGTCTGGCGAATGACTGGCCAGGCTTCGCGCCACTGATCGTCCCGAGACGTCGAATCAGTGATGCTGATCTGGAGATGAAGGGCACCCGGCAACGCCACGCCACCTCGTGCTGCCACCGCCTGCTGCATCCAATTGAGCTGAATGTCACAGCGCGGAAAGGAAGACGCTGTGTCCTTCGTAGGCAGCCCTGCCAGCCACAAGATACCACCATTCGCTCCTTCCCAGATCTTCGTAGGCCGCTCCGCCGAATTGCCACCCACTGTAGCCAGACGATCGAAGTGCACCTCCAGATTGCTCGCCCCACTCCTCCGAGACCAGGCGTCAGCCCCTGACTGCCCAGGGCGCTTCTCTCGAGGTCTCGTCGAACTGGGAGATGACGGCGGCGGGGTTTTTGGAGGGGTGCGCGGCCGTAGGAGTCTACTCGGAGGCGGGCCCACAGGCTCTGCAGGAATCCGCCGCGGGGCTTCAGGCGGTGGCCTCACGGGAACTGCTGGGGATTCCATCCGCTGCCGCTTCAGTGGCGGAAGGTCGCTGGCGTCACTCGCCAGCGCGCGCCGCTACGGCCCCTTCTTAGGATGAGGCAGCAATGCCGCAGCCTCCTCCTTCGCCTGCGCAGTGGAAGCCTTAGGTGCCCCTGCTCGTGGCCGCAGGACCACCGCGGCCACCTTGGGGCGTGTCCCCTCACGCTCAGGCGATGGAGACGCAAGCACCGCGCGATTCTCCCTGCATTCCTTGGCCGGATGGGAACCACCACAAACGCGACCTGACTGAACCAGGATCGCGCATCGATGCTGGCCTGCCGGGCAAGGGGAAGGACCACTGCACCTCCCCCTCTGATATTCGACACAAAGACGTGCTCCATCACGAAGTGAAGCCGACACCCTCTTGCCGTTGATCTTCCTTGGTATCATGTACTCGACTCTGTCAGGCAACGGCAATGTACGTGGCACGTTGAAGCGGGGCTTAGTCTCCCGGAGGCGAATAGGGCTCTGCCATTCTGTACGCAGATCCCTCTGAATAGCCACTTCCATCATTGCCGCCCCGGTCGACTCCGCCTTGGCCAACTCGGCACCTGGAATCTCATCCCATGTCGCAAAGGAGGTCAGCACACCGATGGAGCCTGCCAGCCAGTGCTTGCGACGGACACTCGTCGTATACCTGGCTCCACTGTAACGCAGTGGCATAGTGATTCCCTGGGCCTTCTGCTTGGTTGTGTCTAGCCAATCTCCTAGTGCAAGTTGATCCGAAGCTGCCCATCCGGCCAAATTGGCGTATGTCGGCCCTACACGCCGAAACGAGTATGACAATAAGCTGGTAACGTCAGCTCCCACATGTGGCGTGAAGATGTCCTGCGCCACCTTGATCGCTTGGGCCGTGGTAAAGGGTGCCCCTGCAGCATCGAATGGCAACCCGCTGTAGGTCTGTGCACCTTGGGGCAGGGCTTGCCAACTCTTCAACCAGAGACGGGCCCAAGGCCATCCAGAGCAAAAGACCGCCGGCACCGCAAAGTCGAAGCCTGCACGATTGCCGCGCTGCTTCCCTCGATTGCAGTGGAAGTGGAAGGTCGATCTGGAGAGTCGCATAGGGGATGCCCGCCGCAAGTGTTCAAACCGCAAACACCCCGTCATGCAGCACCAAAGCCCCACCAGAACACGCCACAGAGGGTTGTTGGCCTGATACATGTCCTGTACTGCTTGCTCCAGGATAGGTACCATTGTTGGCACCAGCACCGCCGCCTGCTTGGGCTCCTTTTGGGGGTTCTGGCGGAAGTCGTAACCTCCCAACTCGAGGCCCAAGGTGCCCGTTTTGGCTAGCCACTTCAGGCCGGCCAAGGCCCGCGACTGTGCTTTGGTCCCACCAAAGAGAAAGGCGTCCACATCGATTGCTCCTGGCGGAAAGCGGCGACCTCGTTCAAACATATGGACCTAGAGTTCGCCGAAAGTGAGAAGTGCCCCCTTCAGTGTACCGAGACGCATACTGGGTGGCATACTCGTCAAGGGCCGTGTATGCTGCTTCAGGCGCAGAGTCTGCTGCCAAGGATTCGGCTGCATAGACCCCGAGAGATCCCGGCATGGTAAGCAAGGCCAGCCCTAAGCCCAATGCTTGAAGCCCAAAGCTCAGGTGGACCCTCAGACCATGAGATGCTCCCGAACAGCGAAACAAAGAACTTGAACACAGACTGCAAAATTTCCCCAGGGTCCTCGCCGAACTCGCCCAGCCTAACCACTCCGAGCGACGACCTGAGCACTTCAGTGATGCAAACAGGGTAACTCCCTGCCGCTCACAAGAAAATGGTGCTTGCGGGGTCACTCCCCGCCCATAACACATGTGCATTTGTGGGTACCGCAAAATTGGAGGTCCGCCCCGGATCCCCACACTCGACTCAAGTCTCCTCTCAGTCGCTCTCTCTCCCAGAGCCACTGTCGGACAGGGGCCGTGACGCCATGGCCACCCGTGCCTGCAAGCAATCACGGCACATTGCTGACTGCAAGATCTGGTGCACGAAATCCCCTGAGCCCCCGCAGTCCACACAGACCGCAGGCATAGACCGGCCCGCGGGGTCTGCCGCCCATCGTAGCCAAAGCAGCATAGACCGATGGGCTTTGTGCACTTCATTGGCCCGTGCCTGGTTGGGCGTGGGCTCTGGGAGTAAGAGTGGATCGCGCCAGGCCCGTTGTCACTGCTGCCAGGTTCGCCAAGCCCGAAACACATCGTCCACAGAGGGATGGGCTGCGCCGTGGAGGTCGTTGATCTCGGCCTGATAGAGCACCCGCCCAAATGTAGCAGTGAGCATATCCTGCAGCTCCAAGCCCGAGCTAGCATCCCACATCCTGTCCTTTGCAAGAACTTCGTGGCAACGATCGTAGGCGGCAAAGGCCACCGCTGGCCCCAACTCAGGCTCCTCCACGATGGCTGCACTCTTGGACCAGGGGCCAAGGAAGGGGAATTGGTAACCACCTCTGGCTCGCCCGCATCGATCACACCCAGCCTGGGTACAGACAATCCGGCGCACCGGAACCTTGAAACCCAAGAAGTCAAAGTCTGTAATCGAAGGGGAGGGTGCCGGTAGGTGTGTAATCTCAGCAACCCGACTCCAGATGGACCACAACTCGTCCTGACGGCCCTGACGTGCCAGATCAGACATGTAGGCCCGGAAGTCCAACCAGTTCGCGGGAGCCAAGGTCGGCAAATTTGTGTGAATGACTGTAGGCTCATCATCCATTGCGACACAGGGATCACTTCCCTGGGAGAAAGAAATGTTCCAGCTTGCCAGTTTGGCTCTAGCCAAGTCTTAAGCATTAAAAACCCAATTTCATTTCTAATTGAATCCTCAAATATAAATCAGAAGAATAAAAATCGAAAAGATCCCAAATGAGACCACGAAATATATTCATCAGAAAGTCGAAGAACCTAATCAAACAAAATTACCCATTCGACAGACCCCGAAAAATCTAAGATATTTTACCATATGCCCTCTTTCTTGAACTTCATATTTATATTTCCTTAAACGAATAGTTATAGTATGGCAAATGATGAATGATCATTCGGTGGGTCCAAGTTAGAGGTAAGGTGTCGTATCCCGCAGCCTTTCCAAAGACGATTTTGTGACCATGATTTGGGGCCATCCACCATTTCATTGAAAATTTGTTTCATTCTTCGTCCATCTTTTTTCAGGCACTTTCAGCCTGCTCCAGATTTCGAGACATTCTCAGGGGGTACTTTGACCCCGGAAGAACAAGTCTCATCCTTACAACAAATCAGGCATGCCCACGCCAGCTTGGCAGGTTCGATATGGACATCCTCAATTGGTGAGCAGACCTTCTTTCAGTCTGACCAGCTTCTTCCATTCCAGAAACATGTAGTGCAAACTCAATGCTCCCAGCAGAACATGGATCAGAACAAACAGTGCCTCAATCGCATACCTGGAAACATCAGCGATGGGAAAGCTTCTCTCCCTGTCCGCAATGGCGGCCAAGGTGTTTTGTACCCCCACCAGGGCCAAGAACACGAAGCTCAGCAGGACGTACTTGTCCAGCAAAGTCAAGTAGTTGATTCGAGGCAACTCTTGAGCCACCATATACTTAAAGGCCACCGAGGTCAATACCAAGGTTAAGGTCACGCTTAACCGGTCGGCCAGGTCTTCTTCGGCAATAGCAAAAGAAGTGAACACCAAGACGCTCAAGAGAAAATTGGGCAAGGCGATGTTCCACATGTAGTATGCGGCCCGCCTTTGCGCGATGAAGTAAATGTGAAGCAGAGGGTATCTTCTCATCTCCTCATCGATTTCTCCTTGCATCCATGGGCCAGAAAGGTCAAAGTCGGTCATCACGGTGAACTGGTTGCGCAAGATGGACTTGGCACCCGTGTAGCAGTCTTCTAGGAGGGTAACCTCCGAAGAGGGTCGGCTACAACTCACAGTGATGGTCAGGGCCTGGACATCAAATGGAAAGTGCTGCAACTCGAAGCCTTCTCTGAAGGTACCTGAGAGTTTCCCACCAAATAGGGGGGGGGGTCCTTTAAAGTTGGTGGCCCTTACAAGAGCGGGTCAAGTACTCTGGGTTTTGGAAATGCCCACCTCGACAGTCAGCTCTCCACTGCATCACCTTCTCTCCCCTTTGACCTTTCCGCCATGGACATACGCCCACTTCAACTTCGCTGAGCTCAACCGGTGATGCTGCGTTCATGAAGACCAGGTTTGGCTGCCACTCTTCATCACCCGGCTCCGGCTCCTGCCACATCGCACGAATGAAGAAGTGGCAGTCAAACTGCTGGGCCACCGTATCAATCCCTGACAACGAGAAGACGTTCACGTAGATGTAGACGCGCCGGTGAGGCACGGACACTCTTGCACTATTGGGAGCGGCAGGGTGGTTTTCGTCAACTTGCACGAAGGGCTCAGGCTCGTCTGACTTCGCAACCAATCGACTGTAGCGTGCTTCATCCCTCTGCAACATACAACGGTCGACGAACCAGAGCAGATCACAGAGGATGTGTCACATGCCTTAAAACTGCTTCCAACTATCAGCACACCACTGCTGGTGACTATTGCAACTGACTCCCGAAGGCTCTGCTATGGTCCACCTACAGTTGCGAACTTCTATTTGAGCATCTGAAGCTGCTGAGAAAAGTAGGACAATCATGTCTTGCAGCTGGTTAGCCCGAAGTAGGCCCTCATGAAACCAGCGTGACTCTGTGAGCCGTGAGCAAGGCGGGCATCAAGCGAAACACAAGATTCTCGCTCACGTCGACATCTTGTTCCAAGCGGTTTTTGCCGTTTGTAGTCTGTCCAAAAGCCATAATTCAAGGAAGAAAGCCAAGCTGGAACGCTGCATTGTTCAGGCTCGGGAGCTGCTGCTACCACAAGCGTTTGGGCTTGGGGCTTCGGGTGCTTGAGCTTTGGATGAGATCTTCGACTGCAATGTCTCCGAACGCTTTCATCAAAATGACTGGTCTTCCGAGAAATCTTTGGAGCTGATGTCAGCTGGCCACCGTCACTTGGGTCATTGCTGAGGGCAAACACTTGTCTCGTACACAATGGAAGTAACCGTCTAAACACGTGCGCGCCATGTTTCGTCTTTGCATCTGTAAAATCGGGTGTAGGCGGGATCTTTGGCACAGCTGTGCCAAAGCCAGGCTGCCTTTGAGCCTTCAAACTCCCGATCGGTCGATAAATTCCCCCTTCCTGATGTAGTTCAGAAGCTCTTCACGTGCTGGCTCTGGTGCCTCCAACGCCGTCTCTCAGCCCTCTAGTCTGAAACCCTTGGGGGCTGCAACTGGAGTTTGCAAATTATGGCTTGGTTTCGAATATCAGGCCTGCCTACTTCAGCAGTGCAGCAGCCGAATGCAGAAGTGACGTGCCGCGTGCCTTCCCACCGGGAAAAGCAAACTTGAAGCAGCAAAAGGCCGCAGCAGCGCTGGACCTCGCAATTCCCACAGCATGCTTTTGCCACCGAACACTCAGAGAGCGCATCACAAGCTGACATGTGGATTCCTACAGTCGTGTCCCGAAGTGCCGGAGAGTCACAGAAAGAAAAGGATGATGAACACCCCAACAACCTCAAAGTTGTCGTTGAGCTCCACGATCAAACTCCAAGGAGCGCCGTGTAGATCTGCAGATGGCGAGTGCTCAATCCGACAACGTCACTCTGTGTACTCTGTGCCATCTTTTGGCAAGCTGTGCCTTCGCGTTGGGCAAAAACACCCAGCAGCTCCAATGTCCCGACTGTGAAAGCTATCCTTGGGCTGGACAGCTTCGATGACTGGCCATGTTTTCTTTGATAAAAGCAACTGTGAGAAACCTCCAAGAAGCAGGCGAGAGGGATACGAGCATCAGCAATGATCATGCAATCCAGGCTGCGCAGCTGACGTTGCCGTCAAGAAGATGTTGTAATACCTTGGCGGCGCTCAATAAAGGTCCCGCAGAGCCTTCATTATGTTCCCTGCATCCTCTCGCCCTCGATCACCTCGGGCTTTGGGGCATGACTCTGTGGACCTGATGCTGACAGACAGAAGCTTGCCGCTCGATGTTGCGCGCTTATGTGCATTTTCCTTCTGACGGCGCAAGTTGCGGGTTCCGAGGTGTGGTGAGGTACGTTGGCGATCCGGACTCCAAAGAAGCCCCCCCCAAGCCCACGAGCACGGGCAGTACCACCATCGTGCTCCCACCCATCCCGTTCGCCAGACTGGCGCGTGCGAACCCCTCAAACCCAGAGGCGACTCTTAGCGATTGAACTTGATGCGTTTAAGCGCGGCCAACTGGCAGCCGTTGCATGCCGCCATCGGTCCCTGATCCATAGACCCAGGCCATGAGCAACCCGTTGATGGTGTCTATAAGGCACATTCCTGCCAAGAACATCAGGGGGAGCAGCATGATGAAGACCTTTGCTTCACCGGCAAACGTTGGAAACCTAGCGTGCGCACCATGCGACGTGCGGTAAAACACACACACACACACACACACACACACACACACACACACACACACACACACACGATTTTGACACGAGTGACTGGGTGTTCAAGGCTGTGCGAAAGGCCGACCTCGGGATTTGCAGCAGCGACTCATGCACCAACATGGGCAAGAGCGTCAAAGCCCATCTGCATTTGCAATGTGCCAGGCGGCAGTGAGGGCAAGTAAGAGGCGCCATTGGGTAAAAGCTAGGCCAAGTCAGGAAGAACTGAAGCTAAGGCTACGGCCATTGCCAGCACTGCTACTTCGCTTGAGGTATCGAAGCCCAAGCCAAATGCAATACCAACAGGATACCTAAGTTCACCCAGGACACACTTTGGTCACACGACTGGAAATAGCACTAGTTAATAAGCTAATCACATCAGTGCCAGTGCATGCTAGGCGGCATCTGCCAAGGAGCTGTGATTCCAGTGAACATGCCCGGACAGCATGTCATGCAAAAGCCAGCCACTGTATGCTCGTGCTCCCCGTATCCTCGGTACAGCTGAGGAGAATCCCAGATGTCCATGGAGCTGTAGGTACGCTGCTTGATTGCCGGCAGTTTCGAGAACATCGTTCGCCTGACCCTGCTCCGAGCGAAAACTGCGGACCTAAACCTAGGGTGCAAACACCCAAATTCTACAAGGTTGCATACGCTACCCTGAATTTCGAATTTCAACCAAAGCCCCGATACATGCCAACACCCCGAAGATGATGCTGCTGTTGCCAATCGCTTGCGACTGGGAGCCGAGCCTCTTTGAGACAAGAAACCCTGAAGCAGCGAATGGTTCAACCACAAGTGCTGTAGACCCTGTAGGCGTGGCCATCAACCCAAAAAGGAATGGTCTGCCACCGCTTCTTAGACACAGGACGCCTTGCACAAATGCCTTGTACGGAGGCAAAAGCCCATAGAAGTGAGCATTTAAAAGGCCAATGGAGCGGCGCGAACAAGGCGTTTCTGCTCAAACCCGAAACCCTGCCAGAGAACCATGCTGCCGAGTAGCTGCTCTGCTCCTAAGATTGGCAAAGCACAAGCCGCGGCCCGAAACATCCCAAAGCCCGAAGCGCATTCTCAAGATTCTGAAGATTGGGGTCCGGACTTTCCAGGACTGCACCTGCCGACGTAGGAGGAAGAAATTAATCGCCTGGCGAGTGCAGTCGGCACCAGGTCCTAGAAGAAACTTCGAAAAACATCTCCTGGAAGACCATATTGCTGCTTTATATATAATGCAACCAGTACTTAGAGTACTTCCGATGCTGCTTCTCCCTACCGGTGTTGCTGAAGCAGACATGTGGCATGTTGCAGACTCTGTCGTTCGATGTACAAAAGAAGCGTGCAGTGCATTGAATGACCGTGATGAGAGCAGTAGGAAAACTGAGAGACTCGGCATTTTCTTGACGAATCAATGGACACCAGAGACTCAATGTTGTGATGAGGCTTTAGTCATGGGCTGGATGGAGGCATGCAGGAAGTTTCTTTTGAACGGTACATGACGGCAGCATTGGCACTGCATCTATGGGCACATACCGAATTTCTGAGAATCCAACAGCGATGGCCACCAGAAAACCTCGGATGCTTGAGGGCTCTTGCTCACTTGCCACTCCCAAGTTACTCATGCGCGCTTTGCGCATTTTCGCACTTCCTCGCTCACATCCTTGTTACTTGCAGAGATGATGTTGTGACCTATTCATGGACTCCCGATCCAGGACTTTGAAAGCACTAGCTTGGCTTGCTGGAGCATGATGTCTCAACTCGCAGGTATCGGGTGGCTGCTGACCTAACAAGCCAAGGTAACACAACATGATCAGTTTGGCAAGAGACTGCCAGAAATGGTAGCTCCAAGTAGGCCACCGCTGGCTTCTGCTCTCCTCTCCCAGCATATCTTGCAGAGTGCCGGAATTCTGTAGAGCAGAAGTCTTACCCCTGCGGTGGCCTCACAGCCTCGTGCACGCGAGGACTTGGCAAAGCCAGCAACGCGCACCTCGCGGCCAAGGGAAGTGCGGACAGGGTTGATAATGGTTGATGGGGATGGCGCGGAGAGCAGAAGAGGGAGCTCGTGGTCACGACTTCTGCACCAAGCCCGGCACACGATCACGACGACCGTCGAGTGGCCCAGAGCGAAGAAGAAGCCAACAGTTATGGGGCGCTTTCTTTCAGTGGTAAGCCTGACGAGGGCCATGACAGGATGAATTACGGCCCGGGGCCCACGCTTGGCTGTGGCGCAACCTTCGAGTGACGTTGTCGATAGCAGCGATGTGATCGGCATCCACGGCGTGTCTCAGCCTCGCAAGGAGAATCATGATCACGCAGCGCAAAAACAAAGGTGATTGAGAGTTTGAGGGAGGGACCCCAAGCAGTATGCCAGAACTCCCATTGTTAGGAGCTCGGGAGCCAGCAGCAGCAAGCAGCCTGCCAAAACCACCTCGGCACCGTCTCATGACCTTCACTCCATAAAGCTGCCCTCTGGAGCCCGCTCGGTGCGAATCTGCAAGCCAGGGCGCCGTGAGGAAGCCAATGCCCGCTAAGACCTTAGCAACGCACGAGAGGCTGAGGGCCGTCTTAACTTGTGAAAAAGATGTCGTTCTAGGCATGAGCGCCGCCGTTCCAAAAAACCGGAGTGTTGCGACGTGGGGTCCCAGGCGTCAGCAAGGCACCAAGCAAAGAGGGCCCTAAAGCTTTCAAGCAAGAACTACATACTCCAATCACCGTGGTCGCATGAACGCGGCATATTTTCTTAAAGGACGTGGCCAGGGACAAACTTGCAAGCCCAAGTTCCCCTAAACCCCCTCTCTGATCCCCATCTTGGAATCATTCTGTCCGTCTTTGTTTTTGCATTTCGAAATTTGTGTCTTTACTTATCTCTGTATATCTTTCTTTCTTTACGTATGTACTTCAGCTATTTATCTACTCACATGTGTTCTGTCTTTCTTTGTTCGTTTCGTTCGTTGTTTCTTTGTGTAGATATGTCTTTCGTTCCTTCTTTCGCAGGGCACAGAATGGCACAGAGTCCGACGCTGCGGGCCCGGACCTGATTCTTGGGATTCTTTGGACGAAATTGGGGACGAGCTCAGGGAGCTCCCCCTCCCCCTCTGCTCCTCTCTCCCCTCACTCTCTCTCTCCCTCTGGCTTGCTTGCTTGCAGCGCACATGGCCCCGAAGGGCCGCCCCAGGGGCGTGTTCCAGCTAGTTGGTGTGTGAAAGTAAGATGCTGACGTGAGCTCACGGGACCATAAACAAGGTAAGCAACCCCTAAGTGTGTACTCCCCGTTCACGCCAGGGCATTGCTTCTGCACGCTTGAGCCAAAACAGCCTCTCTCCCTCTCGCCCTCTCTGTCTCTGCAGGCAGCTCACGAGGCCGAGCTGCTGGGATGGCATCCCTTTTGATGGCATCCCTCCGAACTTCGAGGGTTTTCTCGTCGCCCTGCCCGAGCAGCGCCTGCCATCTGCAGGACAAGAACCGCGGCGTGTTTCGAACTGAGATGTCGACATGGTATCATATCATATCTATATTATGTTATACTATGATATATGATAAAACATATGCTATACAAAATTTTACTATATGATATTCTATGATGTCATAGTATATTATCTTACACTATACAACATTATATTACTGTTAATACACTATGTTGAAAATTATCTTGCTAGTATAGTATTTTAATTATATATATATATACATATCCGCCGAGGCCTCGGGCCGTAGGCGTATGGGTAGCAAAAAGCGGGCACCCCACGTTTAATGCCTTTTTGTGACAGATGTCGGGGAGCAGACGCTGCAGCAGGACCACCCCACCCCTTCCCCACCCCACCCCGATCGCCGCTTTCCTCTGTTTTGCTTGATTTCGTTTGTGACTACTTCCTCTTCTTGCTGACGCTATCCGCGTCCACTCGTGGCCTCCATGTTTTCAGGGCTCAAGCTTCAGGCACACCTTCGCCATGTGTACTTGGATGAGATATGTCCCCTTCACAGGTGTGTGGGAGCACCGTGCAGCAGGACCAGGCCGCCCCCCCCCGACCCCCTCCCCAACCCCCTCCCACCCACCTCGACAGCAAGCGCCTCGCCGCTGCGCAGGCCCCGGCCGAGGCGGGTCGCATAGCGTTAAAGTATAAGTGGCTGCTGATCAAAGGCATTCGAGACAATGTCTGCGCCGCCCCAAGTTCACAATGTCCTGGTTCAGCATGCTGTCAGCCGTCATTGTCCGGCCGGCTCTTCAGCTATGTGTTCTCGTTTCGCCAAGTGCGCTACGACTGGGAAGTGGGAACTTTGGACCGTAGATGATGATTGACCATAACCTAAAACGCCGTCCACGGTAGACAAAGATATGCCTCCTCCTCTGCGTGCCTTGTGACCTTGCACTGACGTGAGCTTTCAACCGCTGCAACGGTGTTCATAGATCTTGACAAGTGCAATGACATAACTCATGCATCTACCCTCAAGCTTTTGAGCAATGCGAAGATCTTCGCGCTAATGGAAAGTCCGCCTTAGAACACCAACAAGTGGCAAAATGGCAAAGCTTTGCGCTAAGGCAAACTGGGTGCAAGTGTGCCCGCTTTGGGCGACTAGGCATGCAACTGCTCCACCAGCAAGTAGGCTGCAACAAGCTAGGGCAGAACCATTCCGCAACAGCAACCGTTTTTGGCACGGTCAGGAGCACTCGGGTCTGGGATCAGCATCTTGTCGAAATCACCGGCCTCACAGCGCCACAAGCTGCTTGTCGGTCAGATCTAAACAACACAGAAGTGTTTGGGCTTAGTCTTCGGAAAACCTGTGATTGGAATACGGGCGCCAGAATTTCAATGAACCCCTCAATAACAGGACACTGAATGATTTTCCTGAAACATTGCAACGTCCCTGAAGCTTCGCGTTAGGTAAACGAGTCTTTCTTTCAAAGCCTAAACTTCCAGGTCGGATTTAGCGGCAGGCGCGGCATGCTAAACGCACGGTGTCAAAGTGTCACGCGCTGTCAAAACTAAAGCAATGGGCAAGTTCGTGCCCGCAGAGAGTGTGAACATCGTCCGGGATAGGAACACTGTCCGAAAGTGCGACGGTCATCAGTTTTCAGGCGACCGACAGCCACGCAGAAATGAGGGAAACGTAGAGGAGCCCCCAGCGCGTCCTATTGTCTTAGTGTGATACGTGCATCGCTGCGCCGCTGTCTGTTTTGGGGGAAGCAGAGACGTCACCAGCTGCACTGAACACGGTGGGAGGTTTTGAGCGGCTGAAGTGGCCACTCACTGACCTGTGGGGATTAGTTTGAGAATCTGGAGGGGGGGAGGCCTTGACGATGAAAGTTACTACTCTAGGGCGGGGAGAGCATCTTCCGGCATGTCCTCTAGTCGCTCACGGAACTAGCATCCCAGCACCACGAGCGGTGCTCTTAGCACTGTTTCCCTCTCTGCCCCCCACTTTTAAACTGCCCCCCTTCTACTCGCACGGTCTTGTTATCCCAAATGGCCAAATGTGTGCGCCAGCCATCTAGCTCCCCCCGGAACACGCAACATGTCTACACGTAGCAGAGCTGACAGCACGGACACGCAACATAGCACAGCAGACTGCATGGACATGTACCACGTCACGCCACGCGGGACCCTTTGAGAGCATCTGTCCTGTTCTGTCGAGTGATGACTTTGAGGCGTCGAGGCCTGAATGCCTTGAACCTTACACTCCTCAAACTTGCACCCTAAACGCCCCTGTCCTAAAAACACTGAAACCCAAACCTCTATAAGCGTTCCAGAAGAAGGGTTTTAGGGATTGGGAACCGTGGGACTCATCCATTCGGGCCACTGCTGTCCGAGCATCTCTGAGCTTCTCGCGGATCCTTGCCAGACTGTCAAAGTTGGATGCATTTTTGTTGAGCTCCACGACATTCGATGGCGAGTTTAAGGTATACCACTGACTGGAAATGTCATGCTGGCCAAGGCTCGTTTCTGCTTGTTTGTTGCTTCGAACTGCGAGCAACTGGGCCTGACAAGATATCGGCTCATTCGACGATGTTCCTTTTTGATCAGGGTACCTACCTTCGCATGAGAAACCTCCGGCTCTAAACCGCGTTTCGGCCTGCTTCTTCCGTCGCTCCGCTTGGTGCCTTAGCTTCACGCCCAGAGGCCTGTCCTTTGAGATTCAGAAAGGTATATGTTCATTCTGTGAGCATATATGATATATCTGAAGGCTGCGGTACCTGATAGCCCTAAAGCCTGAGCGACTGCTCAGGGCCTGACTCAAGCTTTGCAACCTGCAGCACTTCTGGTTGTTTTGGGGAACACACGGGTCTCTATTGCATCACGTCAAGTTCCGAGCAACATGGAAAATTCAGGTCCGAATGCCTCATAAAGCCAAGACGGACTGCAGCGTTTCTCGCTTTCGCTGCAGAAGACATGGGGTTCACTTTTTTACCCCACCCCGAGTGGGTGGCTCGAAGGGTGCAAGTACTCCCTTTGTTGTGTTTGCTTCTGTCCCCTTCCCCCGCGTCCACAAACAGCAAAGCGAAGACACGCACAGAGAGATTTGTAGATAGCGGAAGACACCGTGCATGAAAATGACGGAGCCGACCGACGGTGGGCCACGCTGCTGCCAGAGAAGACAGCGCGCGGCAGTGGATGCCAACACAGCGAGATGCCGCGCATGTGTTCGAAGACACGCACAGCTGCTGGCACTGTCGTGTTGTTTTCAATCTAGAGGCTTGGCGGCGGTCTCCTGGAACTCTTCAAACTCGACCCCAAACTCAAAAAGCAATCGAGGCCAACTGCTAGCCAATCTCAAGCCCCCCAACGAAGTCATCTGAACTAGGGATGTCTCAAAATCAGTCCGACCTCAGCGCGAGTCGCAGCCAAGTGCCACCTCGGTTTCGTGTTTAGCGTTTAGGGTTTAGGGTTTAGGGTTCAGGGTTTAAGGTTTAGGGTTTAGGGTTTAGGGTTTAGGGTCTACGGTTTAGGACTTCGGGTTTAGGGTTTAGGGTTTAGGGCTCAGGGTTCAGCAGGTCCGGGTCGAGCAATCTCTGGTAGAGCCGCTGTTTCGACTCTAGAACAAAACCCACCCACCCAGTGAACCCCAAAACATTAAGAAAAAACATGTCTAAACTTTTCATCAACAAGCCCTGTCCCCCAACCTCACTCTGTCATGGAGCGGTCCATCCCACCCTCGAACCACCCAATCGGCTCACGGGAGACAAGCAGATGTTGTTGACCTCATGTTTCTTGTTTTCCCAACTGCAATTCGGGTGTTTTTGTTTTCGGGCACGAACAGCCGAAAAAAACACCTACTTTTGTTAACCTCATGTTTCTTGTTTTCCCCCACCCCACCCTAGTACCGGGCACGAACAGCCAAAAAAACTATCTCTGTTAGTCTCATGTTTTTCGTTTTTCGGCAGGAACAGCCCAAAACAAAACTGATTTTGTTAACCTCGTGTTCTTATTTTCCCAATTGCAACTCGAGCGCTTGCCCCTTTTCGCTACTTCGAGCCTATCCCCAGCCCACCCTAGAACCAACCAACTAGACATTGGCCCGGATTGAGCGAAAAAACCTACCCACCCTCGAACAAGAAGCCCTCATCTGCCCCAGGCCCAGGGCTTCGAGCCCAGAATGGGGGTCTGGGCCAGAAGTTTCGGTCTGTGAGGGGTGGGTAGGGGAAGCCGTCAACATGACAACCCGTGGCCATTGGCAAACCGGTTTTTTGGCCAATTGCCGCGGCTTCTTTGCCAAGGGCCACGGGGTTTTGGCCGATGGGAAAAGCCCGTGGCCGTTGGCAAAAAAGCCGTGGGGTGGTACAAAGATGTTACACGGCCCTCCACTCTCGAAGCCAAAAACGCACCTTTGGCAAGGGGTCCCAGGACCTCCTGGACATCTCCATGCCAGTCGGAGCACTGAGCCCGGAGCCAGCGTTTCACTGGTGTGCAAGGAGTGAGGGGTGTACTGTTCATCCCAATATCATCCTCTATTCATAGAGACTCCCAATATTCTGACAGAGTCATGTTGTCCGCTTCGCAGAAGACACTGAGACAGGTTGCGGTGAGTGAGATCTTGGCATGTCGCGAATGCTTAGCTGTCGTGACTTCATCAACAGCGCTGAGCACTGTCTGAGATCCAAACGAAGCAAATCACATTTCGCAAAAGCTTGCGCGTACACACACACACACACGAAAACACACCCGCAGAGCAGCCGCAGGCCCGAGGCTTGGACATATCGTCCGCACAGGAGGCCGGCTTTTCAGCTGTGTTCACGTTGCACATCGTTGCACCATGCGTGCTACCGACTGGGAAGTGGGAACTTTGTACCAGAGACGATTATGATGACCATAACCTAATAGGCCGCCCATGAAAGAAGCAGCAAAAGGCTATTGGTGCTTCGAATTCATTGCGGCTGTACACAAAGATTTGTCTCCTCCTTTGTCCTTGTGACCATGTGCCGACGTGAGTTTTCAACCTTGCCCGGTGCACATTGACTGGACGAGTGCACTGACAGAGTTCATGCCTTCTCGCCTACAAACATGCACAGGATCTCTCTTGGTACAAATACATCAAGCCAAAATGACTGCGGATGACGGCTGTCTGTAGACGCCAACTGAAGCCAAGAACCCAAAGAATCCCGGCAACCATGCGAGGCTCGCAACAGCATGGGCTTCAAAGAGAGGCACGTGCATCTACCCTCAAGCTTGCGAGCAACGCGAAAATTTTCGCGCTGAGTGGAAGGTCGGCCTTAGAATGCCAACAAATGGCAAAAATGGCAAAGCTTTGTGCCAAGGCAAAGGCTGACTTTGACAGCCGCCGGCCATTGCATCCAAACTGGGTGCGAGCGTGCCCTCGTTGGAGCTTTCAGGGTAAGCTCAGCACTCCGAAAACCAAGTGGCTTCGTGGAGCTGGGTTCTAGCTAAGCTGCTGCATCGCCAGCCTCCAACAGACACTGGGTTTTGGGCATTGGGCATGTTATGCGGGGCTTCATGATTGCACTCGCTGCAGGCCGTTGTTCGTTGAAAGCCCATTCCACCTTCGCAGCATAATGCAGAAAGCTGTAATAACGAGTGCCTCGACATCCGGAAATACATATCTGAAGCCGCAAGATGCCGCAACAGCGCACGACCTGTCGATGTACTCGATTCCAGAAACACGGCTTCAACATCATCCAAATTCTCCCATTCTACATGTTCGAATGGCAGGGCAGCGACTTCAAAGCCAACGAAGCCTAACACATCCTAGCATCGAGTAGAGCATAAATGCAGCAGAGGGTCAAAAAGAAAAGCATGATAACCATACCCACAGTTTCGAAATCGTTGTTGAGCTCCACGATGACACTCCAGAATTTGCCATGCAGACCTGCCGCTGTCAGCATCGAAGGTGGCAAATCCCTGGGCTCATGACACCAGGCTCAACGTCAGGCCTTCACTTGTTGCTAGAACGCCCAGCAACTCCAGCATGCCGACAACCATGGCTATCCTTTCTTGGGAGCACGTCGCTGGCAAGGGACATCACGCAACATGGGGCAACCACCGCGCGACTATCAATGCAACCATCTCAACACCGAGCATCGCAGCCGATGTGGCTGTCACGAACATGTTGTAGTACCTGAAGAGATCTGAAGAGAGAAAGGCAGCGACTTGCAAGTAAACATGCTGCCCTGAACCCCAAGAAAATCCAATGACCCAGCTCGCAGGGGCGCCGCCAAGCTGCAGTCTTTGCCTGTTGCCGTCTGCTCCTCCTGCTCCATACACCCAGGCCATGAGAACACCGTTGATGGTGTCAATGAGGCACATCCCCACCAAGAACATCATCGGCAGCAACATCACCAAGGCCTCTGAGCAGCCACGTGAATCAGTGAAGCTCCAGATCAAAACAACCTATAACAGCATGCCCATGCCAGCGACTGAACGAGTCGACTTGCAACCAGCAACTGGGTGCTCAAGGCTGTGCGAAAGACCGACCTCAGAGAGTGCCGAGATGGTGCCAGTGACTGAGCGATGTTAGCTTAGGGAATTTTAGGGTTCCGTAGTTGGAAGCTGGGCTTGTTGAAGCTCCTGGTGCTCGAGCATTCTGCATTTGGGTCCCGAACTCGGAAAAATGTGCACTTGCACGACGGCTAAGGCTCACAGACCACATCATGTGTAGATCCTCTGACACTCCCGAAATGCAAACGTGACACTCCGTCCGCTGCTAAAGGATCGTACCGGCCCGAACGCCCCAAATACAGTGCTTGGCAGCCTTGCCTAAGGCCACGGCCATAGCCAGCACTGCTACTTCGCTTGAAGTCTCGAAGCCCAGACCAAAGATGAATCCCACAGGATACCTTGCAGCAAAGTGCATGCAGGGTTTGGGAGCCACCGAGGTTTTGGGTTTTGGAGTTTCGGGCTTGGCAAATTTTGCCTGTATCTGTTGCCAGGTCGCATATGCCAAGGAGCCGTTATCCCGCTGAACAACCGTGGACAGCAGGCCACACAGAGTCCCGTCGCAGAGTGGTCGTGGGTGGCAGATTCTCAGCACACTTGAAGTAGCAAGCATCAACGCACGCCTGGACCAATATATCACTGCCTTGCAGCCAAGGCACTTCCCGTGTCCTCAGAAAGGCACATGCGTCCACAGCCACATGCACCCAGTCACACTGAACTTCGCCTTCCAAGACTGCCCCAGACGAAGGAGAATGAAGAAGTTGATCACCTGGTCGGTGCGATCTCACAGCGCAGCTCACGAAGTTGGTGGGCCCAGTCTGAGCTCCTGCGCAAAGTCACGACACTAAACTCGCTATGTCTCCAAGGACCCGACAGCAATCACCACCAGGAATCCTCCGGTGCCACGCCCGCGGGCTTGCAGGACACGAGACAAGCGTAACACAAGCTTTGAGCCGTGTAGCCGCCCGAAAAAATAGCTGAAAGTGTGCCGCCCTTGGACTCCAGCGACCTGTCAAGTACACATCGAGAAGGGATCAAACCATGGCACTGCACCTACAGCAGTCATGAAAGCGTTGATCTGCATCTCTGCGGGGGCCTCACGGCCTCGCGGATGCCATGATTTGGCAAGGCCAGCAACGCGCACCTCGTGACCAAGGGAAGGGTGGATAGGCTGACGGGGATGGCGCAGATCGCAGGAGCCAGCACGTGGTCACGACTTCTGCACCAAGCCCGGCACACGATCACGACGACCGTCGAGTGGCCCAGCGCGAAGAAGAAGCCAACGGTTGTTGGTCGCTTCCTCCCGCTAGTAAGCCTGGAGTCGCAACAGGATGAGTTACGGCCCGGGGCCCTTGGCTCTGGCACAGCCTTCGAGTGACGTTGTCGATAGCAGCGATGTGATCGGCATCCACCGCGTGTCTCAGCCTCGCAGGTCCATTTGCAGATGATCATGCAGCACAAAAGCAAAGGTGACTGAAATCTTGAGGGAGGCACCCCAAGCAGTATGCCAGAACTCCCATTGTTAGGAGCTCTGGGGCCAGCAGCAGCAAGCAGCCAGCCAAAACCACCTCGGCGCCACCGTCTCATGACCTTCACTAGGGCTCTGCCCCCGTGGAAAAACACCTCGGTGCCTTCCACCTGCCCTGCCCGCTCGGGTGGCGAATCTGCATGCCAAAGCGCCGTGAGGACGGCGATGCCCGTTACGACCTTAGCACATCACACATGTGACCGATTGCGATCAAGCCCTTGCCACTCGACAAGGATACAGTCCATGGATGTCCATGGGCATTCTCTGCAACCCAAGAATCTGGGAGGGCTTCCTTCTTGAAAACCCCCTCAGCCGCTACATCGGCCTTCTCACCTCCTTGGGCCAGCAGCTCCTTGCCGGCAACTGTAGAACTCGAATGTTACTCTTTGCCAACGCACGCCTGTGCAGGAGAACACTCTTCGCTGCGCTACGTCCGCTACGTCCTGCGTCAACGAGATTCCGGCGGCCATTGTCCCAGAATAGGCTGCAGAAATTTCTACTACGAACCTAGCATGGACGACGGTGTGCTGGTAGAACCTCTGCTCTCACTAAAGTTGGGAGACGTCTGCGCTTGATGAACATGCCTCTCTTATGAGGATCACCATCAGTACATGCACTGCCATGCTTCCGCCGCTGAGCATCGCATAAATGACACAGGCTGGGACCTCTGCGGTGATCAAACATGACCATCTTCATGAATCTGCCTCCTGCTACGTGCTTCAGCACTTCGATCCGAAGCCCTAAGTCCTGAACCGTCTCTCTGTTTTGCCTTTGCATTCACAGCAACGTCCCGCTGTAGGGATTCACGTTGCTGCGGTGCTTGCCGCAGGGGAGGGCCAGCTCATGGCCAGGACTCGGGCGCCAGGACTCGGACCATCTCCAAGGGGTTGCAGGCTTCGGATGCATAAAAAATCTCCGGATGTAAAACCACCCACATTGCATCGGATCTAGCCTCGGTCCAATTTGCGCTCGTGTGTACCTCACCAGGCAATCAAGCTTCGGCCGCGGGTTGATCCGGGTTGTCACGTCTGCCACCTCAAAAAGCCTCCCCACCACCTCTGTCTGAAGTGACCAGAAATGCCGGGCTCCCAAATTAGCCGCCGTAGTTCTCTCAGGTACCGAAGACGGCGGGCTGTTTCCGCATGGGTCTCAGATCCGTTCCAGAGATCTTCGGCTGCACAGTTGGGAGCTCGTTCTCAAGCGGCCATCAACCTTCTGAAATGTGAAGTGTGATGCCAGGGCCTGCACGACCTCCAAAAGGTTGGCGTTTCATGGTTTTGGGCAGGCGTGAGTTTCGCTCGGGGAGATTTGAGGCCACGAAGCTCTGCACCCCAAACTCTGCAAACTCCCTGATCCCTACGCTGGAGCACCTTGGCCCTGGGCCAAGCACAGTGGTATCCCAGAAGAACACCCAAAGCCCTAACTCAACAAAACTACGGAGGAATAGAAACATCATTCTGTCCTGTCTCACCCTCTGCATTGAACCCAAGCTCCAAAACTGAGACGTAGTGGACCTAAGCCCGAAAAATCAAAAACACACTCCCCCAAGCAGCCTCAGCATCCAGGGATGCACCGCGTGGTCTTTTCCTGCTTGCTGTCCTCTCGGTGATCGCATTGAAACACCATGTCATAGCCCTTCAGCAAGATGTGGAAGTTCTGGACCCGCGACATTCAGCAGAAGGCCACCAAACGTAAACATAAGCTGGGGGCTTGCGAAGGAGGCCTTTGAGCGCGATGACAGCTCCGGCAGTTCAGACTGAGCAGGAGGGCGATGCCGAAGGCTAATCCACTGCAATGAAAGTCTCCTCGCCGTCATCCTGCACCCCCAGCTTCTTCAGCAGCTTGTTGATGTGCTCCTTGCCAGCCGAGTCTGAAAAGCATGAGGAGCTGGATGCTCCTTCATTACATGGCTCACTCTTCCCGCAGTCCTCAGGAAGACCGACCAAGGCATGCTGGCACGAGAGCACTTCCAAGGCTAGCAGCATCGATCGTTGTGCAGCCGCTGCCTCCTCGGAAGATCAGGCCAAGGAGAGGCACAATAGTTCAAGAGTTCTGAAACAAAGGAGCGCTTGATGGAAACGCGCTGAATCTTTCGGGCCAAGCTGCAGGCGTCAGGGCATACCAGAAATTGACACCTCAGGTGGCCGGGGGATGCCGGGGGCGCATCTTTTGTAGCTCAAGAAGCCGGGCTTGCTCAGGTATGCTCAGGGTAGAAGAAACACGCAAGCCTACGTAATGTCCTACGTACCTTCTGTTCCTGCAGTCCAGGATCTCATGGAGAAAGGTAAGCCCCTCTCCGGCACTTGCGGCTGCCAGGTGCGCACAGAGTGCCACCAGCCCGGAGGGATATAGATGGCCTGGATTTGTGGAAAGTCGAAAGAAGAAACTCGGCCCAGCCAAATCTACACTTTGCCTTCACCTCCGAAGCCTTCGGTCACAAAAACCTCAAGTCGGAGGGACATCTCCTGGATACAGCATCGCTCGAGACACCGGCTCCTGCATCCACAAGGCACGCAATGCCACGTCCCCAGGTGAAGTCTTCAAGCATGAGCGTCTTGCACACTGATGCAGCTCCTTCATTTCCTCCAGCATATCCGGATGTGCATAGCTGTTCCTGTCTGCGCAAGCCGGGTGTCAAGGGCTGGGACAGCCTCATGCACCAAAAGATGCTGGCAAAGCGTCTCTTCACAGTTCTTGTCGATAGAGACGAGTGCATAGTCGGATGTGGATTCCATCGACTGCATGTCCTTCTTCTCCAACAATATCCTCCGAGCAACACTAGTTCTGCAGTGTGTACAGACGCTAAGCCTCCGATGATACTTTGAGCCACACCGGTGTAAAATGCAAACCTTGAAACAAGAGACTGGCTGACTGAAAAACTGAAAACCCAAGCTTAGAAAGAGAGTCGGAGCATTCAACCTACATTCGGGACAAAAACTTAGATAGGCTCAAAACCTGAGCACTTTTCTGGCATTGAAGTGATTGAGGTTGGAGGCACGAAGCCTTAAGCTCATGCTGCACCCGACAGCGCGTGCCTCTCTGTTTCATGGATGCTGGGGGGGCATCTCAAGTTGTTGTAAACGCAGGGGTCGGATTCTGATTCGATTGCTGATTTGAATCCAAAGTAAGACTCCGATCCGCTCCAAGAGTGCCATCTATCGTCCAAACATTGACTTCGGCCAGCAGGCACTTACTCTGTGCACAGAAAGCATGCTTTTTTTCCAGGAGGACTTGCTTACCCGCAGCCTGGGCTTCGCAGCAAGCGCTTGAACTTTCTCGAGCTCTGGGGGCCGCCGTATTGGCATGGGAGGTCCTGAGGCTCTTTGTTTGTTGCGCCAGCGCAATGCCTGGATGTGGTGCGAAACGCTGCCACATCTCGCATCGTTGAATTTCAGCACTCCAGATAACTCCGGAAGCTGTGATGGGTGTGTGGCCACGAGTGACGCAGATCAGGAGACAAGTGCCCTTTGGAGGCTTTGGCTGCTACCGGATGATGAAGAGGTATGCATCATGAGCTTCGCAGATCTTGAATGAGATCCCAAAATTGGTGAGCTTAAACATACGAAAAATCCAAAACATGCCGAACGAAGGCATAAAAGTCTTTTCACGTCTGAGTTCCAAGCCATCCTAAATCTCAGTTGCTTACGGCCTTCTTTCAAAGCATCTGTGTCTAGTAGGGAATCCATCAACCCAGGCTTGCGGGATGAGAGAGTGGCCTCATGACTATCCTGTATAGACAATCTCTGGTGTCTTCTGAGCTTGAACAGCATGCCAGCGGCCAAACTTAAAAGCATTGCACGGACCAAGATTACAAAGTCAAGATGCCCTGTCAGTGCACCCTCCATGTGACGGACACCCTGCATTCTGGAAACGGACTGTTCAGATCCCTGGGTCCTTCCATCTGTTGAGGTGGACATCTGCCATTGAACTTGTTTGCAGAATCGCGTTCCATACCTGGCCGACTGGTAGGAAGCAGTTGGACGGCGGTAAGAGATATCTTCGGCAATGCTCATGGCAGCTGTCATCCGAGACGCAAAGCTGGTGCTTGGAGAGGGGGCTGGAGGAACACCTGTCTTGCCACTCAGCACATGGCAACACCTCAAAACAAGCACAGCATCACTATTTGGCCTCCTTCTTGCCACTGATAACGACGTGGATATTCTGCATGTGATCCCAGTGGAAGCCCGCTGAAAGGTGCCGAGTGCCCTGCAGCATCAGGTCGCACCATGGCAAACGGTATCCAACAACCCTTGTGCAGCTTCGACCCACAGAGCGACAAGCGGCCACCCAAATAAACCGATAAAAACAAGGAGTAAGGAACCGGAAAATGAATCTCTCGAACGGCTAGCCTGGCCTCCGGACCTCCGGCACACATCCACAGCCGACGCTCCTGCAGAAGCGGCTGCCACTCAGGCAACAGCTTGGCAGCCAGGTCGCCTGGCACGAACTCCTGCAAACTGCGCAACTGTCAGTTTGGCAGTTTGTTCTAAACTAGAGCTGTGCGGGGATCCCGTACAAATAGCTGTATATTCCAACCTGCTTCACAACAGCGCCCCACAAGGGATCCTAAATTGAAGACATTCCTTGCTTCTCAGAGCTTAAGGCCCCAGTCTTTGGCTGGCACAGTACAGTAGTCCTGTAGCAGATCTTCTGGCCAGTCGGCAGCATCATCGACGCAGTACAACGAAAGCTGCTGAATCTCACTCAAGGGCACGTGGAGCATCGTCTGCGACAAGGCTGGACGGGAGAAACCCTCACACACCCTCTACAACCTACGCAGTGATGCTTCGCGCAAAAGTCCGCTTGGCTGCTGGCAAGCGCAACATTTCACATTGCTGGCCCGCACCGTACGCGTCACGCACCCCTGTTCAGCAATGCAGCGCGTCATGGAGGCATCAAAGGTTCCAACAGCAACCCCTTGGCATCTGCGCCTTGAATCCCCACTGAAAAGGATCCCAAACCAACCTTGTAGCCAGGGACCCCTAGAAAGCACCTACGACTTGCTAGGGGCTCCATATATGGGACTCCATATTCTGGCAACCCCTGAAATCTAGAGAGTCTTGGCATCCCCAAACAGTTACCTCAAAAATGGCGCAGGGGCCGCCTGGTTCAAATTCCAAGGGGCTCACGCGCCTCAAACTCGCTGCCTTGGCCAACATCGTCCGCATCGTAGGGCATGTTCACCTCCGTGCAAGAAGAGAATGCAGTTGCGGAACCTTTTCCTGGGGACACCTTGTTGAACCAGCCGAGGATCAGCAGGAGCCACCACATCCGTGAACGGAGCTCCCTGCTTGAGGCTTGCAGCAGTCAGAAAGTCCGCAAACTGCATCTCCAGCCGTCCCGGGTTCACTAACCTAGCAAGGACATGATTCACAAGATACTCAAATCGCCTGAAGAAGCTTGATAGGTAGGGCAGACATCGAATCTAGCACTTCCCCTCCACTGCAGATTCTTCGCACCTTGGGGCATCAGCTCCTGGTGGCTTGCGGTTCTGCCTCGACATTGTCTGAAAGCTCTTGGGTATCTCATAGTTGAAGAAGGAAGCCGTGGGATCAAAACTCACCTGACAACATTTGCCAGAGTCTCGGCAACCTCGCTCACATCTGCTCCACCAGAGATGAATACAATCCAAGAGACCAAGCACCTGATGGGGCGGTAACAGACAAGATTTCTCAAGCTATTCCAGGTCAAAGTGCCCAGCCTCCGGTCCCCCAGTCGTTCTCGAAGCAGCTGCGTGTTGTCTTTAAACCGCCCCCGTGCAACCATGGGCCAGTCGCCAGCAACGCCGCGCCTCGGCTTTCTGAAGCTGCTGCCGCTGCACTGGGCTGCTGCAGGTTGCATCGGGAATCGGGACGAAAACCGGATTTTTGCCGGGCAGCAGCACACATGGCTGGCTCTTCGCCGCAAAACCTGGGCAGGATGCGTTGGCCCTTGCTGGTCCAAAGCCCGCCGCGCGACATCTGCGACGCACCTCTAAAGCGGTCGAGCTCGCACTGAGCCACCTCTTCCAGCTGCTGAAGACGCATCCCGAAAGCCGGATGCGGCCTCGAGACCCAGGATGAAAATGAGAAGTCGCGAAAGCCGGGGGTGGCGCATGTCCCACAGTGAGAGAGCCTATACTTTGCAGCTAAGGGGCAATGTTGTTTGCATGTCACATGGCTCGCAACTCGGGCCACGAAAGGTAAGGAAACAGTTGAGCACTGCCACTGCTGCGGAGCGCCACGAAAATTTTCCACAGAGGCGGGCGTACGGCGTACATGTCATGGGGCGCGCGCCGCTGTTTTGAGACTTGTAAGCGAGATGTACTGCATTAGTGCACTCAGGCATCTTCTGCAAAGACGGTGACTTCCTTATCCTCCTTGCTGGGGAAAAGATCACCGAGTGCACCAAACCATTAGCACAAGTGCACACCCAAAAAAAGGCGTGCAAGCGTTACAGCCGCCAGACCATGCCAGACTCGACCTGGCCGTCGTCTGACAGGAAAGCTCACTAACAGCTACGGACTCCCGTTTAGAGCCCTCAAAGCGTGGCGAGGCTGTTCTTCAGCGTCGCCCAGTGTCTGTGCTCCATCGCCACGATTTTGTGCGATCTAGCTGCAAGCAGTTGAAGCGGTCCGTCTTACAACAGCCAAGGGCTGTCGAAAAGATCAACTTTCTGAAGTGTCAGGCCACGAACGAGTAATCGAGCGATTTGAGCCAGACTTCAGCATTTACTGCTTAGGAATCGCCACAGCTCACGACTCACGCCACCGGATTGACTTTACCGCTCTGGCTCAGCAAACTGCCACAGGAAGGCCTGCGAAGAAGGCGGGAAAACGAGCAATGTGCACCCGAGGGCTGCTTCGCAAGGGCTGCTTCTGGCTGCTTCGATGCCTGATTCATGGACACGCGGCGCTCGCGCCTGGAGCTGCGCCCCTCGGAGGTGTGCTGGAGAGGCAGGCCAAAGAAACAAGAAAAGCCTGTGGCGGCTTCGAAACCTATTCATCAGCCCAGGTGCATCTCTGGGCTTGCCTGGTGAGCTTGCCTCGATGTAGGATTCCGATGTGTCCGAGGCCTGCGCAAAGAACTCGCCCGCGGCTCCGCTGGACAGCTTGGGTCCAGGTCTCTATGTCAGCTAGGCGACGTCCACTCTTCCCTTGACTTGCCAACGAGATGCAGCGCTGCTCGCCGCAGCCTCATCTCCCGCGGCCTTCAAAGAGGTGGCTTTCCCGGTGGCTTTCACCTAGCCTACGGGCTCAGTAAGATGGAGGAGACTAAATGCAACTGCCCTGCCAGGAGGTCGACTTCCCAGACTGCTCATTGGCTCACCCTCAAACCGACTCGTGCCTCTGAGGCTCCTCTGGCCTCAAGCAGATGGCCCCCACCTGTCACAGGCGAAACACTTGATTAGGCACCGAAACCAAGCCCCAAACTGTGCTTCGAAAGGGCCCTTGAAGGCCTGCAGGCTCGTTTCTCTCGCCGTCGGAAGGAGTCGGGCACAAGGCAGAGCCTGTACAAATGAAGCTCAACATCTCGTGTGGACCATTGTGGCCCTCAAAACTTGTTCAGCCTGGCTGTCCGCAGTCCTCCTCCCATGTAACCATCTTGTCCGCACGATCTGCCAGGCGAATGGTCCATGCCCCATCGTGTTTTGTGAACAATGTGTGGGCGACGAGCCTCTCTCAGATGAAGGCGAGTGCTCCGAACCATCGCCGCCATCAGCACAGGCCTGGCGCACTGCAGGGCAGATCTCCGGGGTCCAGAACAGGCGTGCAAAAGAAGTACTCCTGCCTGCAGCGGAGAGTTGCTGATGGCTGGCCAGTCCTTCTCTGCCGCCTTCTCTTCCTCGCACCCTTCCTCCACAGCTTCCTGTGCAGCCTGCGCACCGGCCTCGGGCGCGGCCTCAGCCGCGGCCTCCGCCACGGCCTCCGCCGCGGCCTCCGGCGCGGCCTCCGCCGCGGCCTCCGCCGCGGGAGACCCTGGAGGTCGCTCCTCCCATCTGGCCTCGGCCTTCTCGTGGTCACAGTCGAGGGTCTCCTCGGCTCAGGGTGCAGCTCCAAAGAGAGCCAAAGCTAGATGTCCGTCGGGCCTCTTGTCGGGGCTCTTCCTGGCCGAACTTGCGTGCCCCGGCAAAATCGATGTCCTCGCCTGTCTCGGCCTTGCCAAGATTGCTTAGCTGACCCGTACTAGGCACTAAGAATTCTCTCAACTTCTCAAGCGAAAGCTGGCAATCGCAATCGATAGACTACCTTCGATGAACCCCACACCCCACTGATACCGGCCTCAATCACGAGGGGACTGGCATCCATAGCCACTTCGGGTACCTCACACGCTTGAGGGTCCAGGGTTCAGTTCTTGAAAGTACGTTGAAAATGACGAATTCTGAAGGATTTAAGATGGGCACCTCCTCACTGTGCTCGATGCGAACCGGAGTGACCATTGTTGAGCAGGGCAGTTCCTCCTCGCACGCCACTGGCGTGCAGCAACATTAAAAAGAACATCCACACGCGTCTTCGCACCGGAGCATTCCGCAGGCCTCGTCGTCGGGCTTCTCGGGCTTGTCCGGCGTGTGCAAGTCCGTCTGCAGGCTAATTGTTGCGGGAGTCGCTGTTGCCATGACTGTGCTGTACAGATGGGGAGTCCGAAATTATGAGGGGATCCCACTTTGGGGAGCTATATTGGGGGTACCTATTTTTGTAAACACCCAGATTTGTACAGTACTCGTAATTAAACAGCCCAAAAGGCCTCGGAGGTGTGGCCTTGTGGAGCCTCCTCCTCAGAGCCTTGTTGGTCCTAGCATGATACGGGTAACCATACTCAGGTAAACAGAAAAGCCACACGCTCGCAGTTGCATGCACCCTGATAGGTCCTCCAGAAGTGGAGGAAGCGGTTCTCGCGATGGTCCAGTCCAACTCTGGCGTGTGCGGCCTCTTCCTGACTCCTGCAACCGCAAAGGCATAGCACGGCTGCCGAAGATTGCACTTTACATGTGCCAGCGTCCTGCACTTCCCCATCTCGCTGAGAAGGTGCTCGCCGACGCCTGAAACTTCAGATGCAAACTCCGACTGCCCTCCGAGCTTCTCTCCGAGCTGCCCTCTTGATTTCTGGAACTTGGGATGCCACGTTCTCTCGCTTGGCGTATGCTCAACCACCAAAAGATGGTGCCTGAGAGAGGACCAAATGGTGATCCCTCACATGGACATGGAAAGATGAAGCTTGAAGCGGCTGGGCATCTTGCTTGATCAAGAAATCGCTGGGAATGCCAGCATGTCTCGCGTAGTAGGCAGCAGTTGCACCGTGTGTATCTCGCCTCAGCACACGGAAGAAGGTGCTGCGGCGTACTAGCACAGCATCTCTGTACCACGGACAAATCATGACGAATCAAAGAAGGTTGCTTTCGAGAAACACTTGGAGGCTTCAGGTTTCTGGAGGGAGGCTATGGGAGGCTCATCGGCAAAATATGGCGGGAGCACATGAAAGAATTAAGAACATCACAGAGACTGCTGCAGCCTGCACCTTTTTGAGCCAAGACTCTCTGCAACTGTACCATGAACAAATGCACTGTGCGCCACTGCATGCCACCGTGTTGTGAGAGATGGCAGAATTGACTGCAGCAAGCTGCAAAGTGAAATCGGGTTGGGCTCTTTCAGCCAAGGTCAAGGCACATACTTGTCAACCAAGAACGTCTTGACACAGAGACCACAATCCAAGGCTCTGGCACATCAACAACGTCTCTGCTGACGCGGGGTGCCAGCCATACAAGCACCTGCCATTTGCAGGAGGTTTGCCTGGTCTACAACGGCGTTCTTCTGCAACGAGCCTCTGTGAGACCTGCCCTGCTTGCCAGATGTAAGGCTGACCTTAAGCATCACAGCATGGTTCTGCACCTATTGTGGTCCTACAGAGCAGCTTGGTTGCCGGCTGGCCTTTCTGATTCAGGGCATTGACGTTGGCCTGCCAGGGCACGTTTCATGGCATGGATCTGCTTTTACACCGCCCTACATGTCAGGTGATCGTCAAATATCCATGAACATCTTGCACCCGACACTTCCCAATACTGCCCTTTCATATTATTGCAAAGAGCTTGCCTTGTGCTCGAGCAAAACATCGCAGACCGAGCTGATGGGCCTGGGAAGGTTATGGGTCCAACAGTCCGACACATGGCGTCAAAGGTCTTCGAAGGGTTCCCAAGGCTTTGGCGCGAAGAAGAGGGCCGTCTGGCCGTGCTGGTCGGCAGCGTTGGCATCCGCGCGCGCTCGCAGGAGCGTCTGGCAGAGGTCGGGAAGGCCGTCGAAGGAGGCCGTGTGGAGGACGCACACGCCCTTTGCATCCTTCTCGTTGGGGTTGGCTCTGGCCTCAACAAGGAGTCGAGCCATCTCTGCACTCCGTGCCTGCACGGCAGCCCTTAGAGGGGTTTCGGGCCCCTCCCACTTGTGCGGCGGAGCTCCATCTTTGAGAGCCCTTGAAACGGCACTCAGAGCCACTGCCCGCTTTTCCTTGGTGAGGGATGCTTCGAGCAGTGGCTGTGCAGCCTGGTACAGGCTGGGAGGCACATGCGGACGGGAACGACGCAGCGGTGATCCACTTGAGGCACGTCGAGTCGAGCCACGCGGCGTCGATGCCGAGGTCTCCCTGCCAGCGGACAGTGACCTTTGCCGGCTTGGGCTGGCAGCTGCACTCCTGCTCGGTCCACCCCGCTCGCAGCCATCACCAGCACCAGGTGAAGGCTGGATCGCATCAGTTTTCGATGCGTTCTCGGCCCTTGGCCGCGCCTTGGGACAGCTCTTCGTCTTGCGCACGCCGCCAACGCTACCACTACTGCTGGATCGCTTGATGCTGGAAGTGATGCTGCTGCCTGAACACTCACTTCCAGCTGACGTACTGCATACGCTGCTGGTGCCAACTGGCTCGGCCTTGGCTGCAGAGGCTGCCGTGGCCGACATGTGGGAGTGCCGGACGGGGTACCCAGCGGCTGGCCTCTTGCCGGAGCTCTGAGACACGCTTTGAGGAGCGAGCTTTGCGAGCACTTCGCCGGCTGAGGGCGAGAAATCTGCTGGGCTCGCTGGACTCGTTGGACCCTCGTGCTGAGCCTTGTCTTGACGCCAGAGTCCAGCAGAGGACAGCGCACAGCGCAAGGCCCTGGTTTCCTGCTGAAGTGCTTCGTGCTCTTGACGCAGTGACTTGAGCTGCAACCCATGGTCCGTGACAATGTCCAGCAAGCGGCTCAGGGAGGGCTCCGGGCGCTCCACCGAGGGGCGCTCCGCGGGGCGCTCCGCACCGAGGCCCTGCCGGCCCTTTCGCAGGGGAGTGGTCGGAGTGGTGCTCCGAACATCCCGTGCGAAGGACATGGCAGGCGCGTCACGTCATTATCATAAGGCTCGAAGAATCTTGTAACGACTTGCACCCGTGCTCAAGAGTCTGCATGCAGAAGCTAGGTGGAGGTATCGCACGAGTGCACGGACATTGACAGTACCCCAGTTCACACAAGTTCAAATGCTTGCTGCAGCTTCATGCTTGTGATCCCGATGGCGGCGTGAGGAAGAGCCGCCGCAACACCCATTCCTCGACAGCCCCAAAATGGCAGCGATGGAAGTGCACAGTTCTTGACACGGGCAGCCTTTTCTGTTGCCTCAGTGGGGTTAACTTGCAAGCTACTCCTACCGTTTGAAAGATTGAGATGTTGTCAGAGCCGACAAGATCTCACAGGTCAAGATGTGTCAAGGGACTGTTCCCTCGCATGGTTTGCAGGGCTCCTGATGGACTTGTGCCGCTTTTGGTTGTGTCTTTTCTGCCTCGCAGTCCCCGCACACCCGGGGAACAATCCGTTTCCACAAGTTGGCCGCTTAAACATACACAGATTTGGGACTCTTGGGGCTCTCGTCGGAGATCAGCTTCTGGCTGGCATTCAAGACAAGTCTGGTTAAGTCCAGGCTTTCAGACTCTGTGGCATTGCTACACGTGCCGTTCGTGCAGCACTTATCGACCGTCTTCTCCAGAAAGCCGAGTGCAACTTTGGGAATGTACTCCTGGATCAGCTCCTTGATTGGCGGAATCTCCGTCAAGCCCATGGCGGTCATCTGGAGCTTCTCATAGGTGGTTAGATTATCCAGGGACCTGGGCGGCTGAGTGTAGTAAGACTCGATGTCCACGAAAGGTCCGAAATGCCCTCCAGCATTCAACATCATAGAGTAACATGCCTTCACGTCGGTCTCACCGCGTTCAGGCAAGAACAAGGTCTTGTTGAAGTCTGCGAGGGTGCCAATCATCTGCTTGAGCTGCGCTTGGTATTTGGGGTCTTGCGAGAGGTCATGGCTTTCACTTGGATCCTCTTCGATGTTGAACAGGCACCCGTCTCCGCAGTCTCCGCGCCAGTAGTGGGCATCCCCCAGGTCAATCTTCTTCTCAAGCACCCCAAAGTCAACAAAATCCGGACCTCCTCCAGACACGAAGCGACCAACGGTAGTGCAATTTGGGTACAACGGACCGGTGTGGACCATGTAGGGCTGCTTGCCCGTCACAAGCTTGTAAGGGTACGACAGGAGAGCAGTCGCCGAGATGAACAAAGACTCGTTGGCACGTGGACCTGCAGCTCCTTGGAAGATAGCGTCGAGCTGACCGCGCTTTCCGTCCACTGGAGCCAGCGTGGTGAGGTTGTGAGCCTTCAGCCAAACGTTGGCTGACTCAGCCTGTGTGTCGGTGGGATCAACTCCCGCAAGCTCTGAGAAGATGGTGTACCAGTCTGCGACTGACACAATGCCATTGTGAATGCGGCCACGGCTCGACGCAGGAATGAAACCGCCAGAGATGAAGGTGTTTGTCCGCACTCCCCCCTCGAAATCCGAGTACTTCCCACCCCTTAGAGGGTAGTTGTTGGCGGACCCAGGCTCATAGATGGGTCCACCATTGTCTGTGGTAAAAACCAGCAAAGTGTTGTCCCACATTCCCTTGGTCTTGAGGGCGTCTGTGAGATTTTTGATCGTGTCGTCCAAATACATTGTCATTGCCATCAGCAACCGCCTGTTCTCGGAATCAATCACTTGCCCACCCTGCTGAGAGACGATCTGGGCAATCTTTGCATAGTAGAACTTGGGAATCTGCAGCGGCGTGTGAAGCAGGTGGAATGAATGAAACAAAAAGAGCGGATGATCAACATCGGATGCATTGTGATCACGGATGATCTGCAAAGAACGTTCCTCAAACATCTTCTCCTCATAGCAAGACGGGGTACGCTCTTCGCTGTCCTTGCATGCATCCGTGAGGTCTGCTCCACGGTACCCCTGACGGTGTGTGTCGTTCTCGGTCATAAGGTCATAGAAAGCGTTCAAGCATGGGGTGATTTCTCCGGTCGCTTGGATTCCTGTCTTCTTGTTCCAGTAGTCATTGGCATGTTGGAAGTACAGGAATGTGTCATCAAAGCCGCGGCCATACGGAGTGTGTTGGGGAGTGGCCATCCCCGCATCCCACTTGCCGACGTAGTGCGTCTTGTAGCCACCTGAATATGCACTCTTCCGGCACGGTACTCAACTCAACACTGACGATAAACCCTGAGCAGCACACAAATCCAAGCCCTCTCAACGCCGAAAAACAAACCTGCCCTCCGGGCCAAGATTTGCGGCTTGGCCACCTTCCTTCACCTTGGCACCCATACCTGTCGCATCCAGCATCAGGGACACGAGCAAGAGAAAGAAGGCGAGAGCCACTTTCAAAGGGGACACGGACAACAAGAGGGCCTTTCGTTGAAGCGTTTCACTACGAAGGTGCCGCTGATGTTTGTGCTAGTGGAGCATTTGCATCAGTGCGACGCGAACCGCGTTCGTTTGCAATCTCAGTTGGAGGCCACGTGATAGCCATCAGGAGGCCGATGCAATCACCAAGCATGAACTCAGTTCTTTTCAGTCCCAGTGGACCTTCTGTGCTCGATGCTGGAGTTTGCAGATTTCGGTCATGAGATTAAATGCTGGAAGTCAGCCTTCAGCAGGAGCAAAAACGACGACGCATCTTGTTTGATACGAGAGCCCTTTTTACAGGAGTTACAATCTTAATATCCTTACCAACTGGCACACAAAGCTTTGATTGGCTTTTTAATGCTTTTTACATATCTTGGAAATCCACCATTATTGCGCCTCAGAGTTAGTTCTGTCTTCTTCTCACATCTCTTTTATTAATGTTTCCTATAGTGGCTCTACAGGAATAACTCTTGAAAATGCGGCAGTGGATCTAGGATTACATGATACATATTCTGTTGTAGCACATTTTCATTTCGCTCTTTCTTGAAGAGCTATAGGGAATAATTTGTACTAAAGCAAAGATTGTTGGTACTAAGAACTTAATACTTTCATCCTCTAGCACACTGAGAAATCCCATGGGAGATGATCAGATCCGTCTTCGACAGGGGAATACAGATACATGTTGCGTGTGCAGTCTCTTACTTCCTGTTTCAGAGATCATCACTGTGGGCTGTCCAAAACACGCATCTTTCGCTGCTCAAGGTCACTTCCCTTCCCTCCCTGTCGGGTTTGGGTGTTACCCCTTTTCCATCTTCGGGTTGATTTAAGCGCTCGGGTACAAGTCCTGGGTAGCCTGCGGACATGGCGGATTGTTCCCGGAGGTTTCGCAGTGTTTGGCGACTGCTGAGTCTGTTCTACAGATTGCGAACACATCAGTCTTCAGTTGTGTGCATGTCCGCTGCTCGTTTAAGCATCTTACGTTTTCGAAGCTTTACATGCTCTTTCGAGCGCCTTGCCGGCTTCAGAAATTTTCGGAGTTCCCCTTGTCGCATTTTGTGCTCCCGCGCATTGTCTCTCATCAAGGAGGGGCATCTACCCCGCAAGAATATTTAGGTCCCGCCCCCATGTTCCCACCCCTTGTTTCGGATTGTGTTGGACACGATCCTGGAACTTGAAAATTTGCTTAACGTTGCTGAGATTTCTACTCTAGCAGCCTGTAAGGGGGATTTCGGATACATCCCAAATGATTGTTGCACGTGCCGTCTCTTACTTCCTGTTTCGAAGATCGTCACTGTGGGCTGTCCTGTCCCAAAAAGAGAAAGAGAAAGAGAAAGAGAAAGAGAAAGAGAAAGAGAGGCAGCACGAGTGCGAGGTGGAATAACGCCAACGAACAGCAACAAACACCAACCTCATGCTGATTTCGTTGGAAATCCGGAGCCTGTCATGTTGCGAGGGATGCCAGCATAGCCGCTCACTGGGTCGTCACGATTTTGAGCTGTGACCGCCACGTTCTTCACAAGAACGTGGGGCGCCAGGCGGCCTGAAATTAAAGCCGACCTTGCTGGACCGCAGATGCGGTACGAGTAGTGGCGATCCAAGACAATGCCATCTGTTGCTAACGCGTTGATGGCCGGAGTGTGCACCTCCAACTGCCCCTGCTTCTCGTCAGCGGTCTGCGAGCTGTTCCGGTGATAACCGATGTTGGCCCAGCCCATGTCGTCCGCTAGGATGAATAAGATGTGAGGCTTGTGCCTACTGGCTGGTCTGGACTCAGCTGCGGCGGCGAAGGCCACCACAGCAGCAGCAAGCGGCAGGACATGCTGCGGCTTCATGCTTTTCTCTATGGCCGCTTGGCTTATAGAGGTGCAAAAGAGGCTGCAGGGAGGCAGGCGCATTGCTTGCAACTTGATGAGGGGCAACTCTCAGCAGGCACAACTGCCTCAACCGCAAACACAAGAGGCACGCCAGAGCACTGTATCGTGGCGTGAGGCGCGGCAAAATACCAAATCTTTTTTGTTTGTACAACGTGTGGCCTTGCACATTCGTTGAACTCACACAAATCAATTGCAGCTTGCTCCACTGTCGCTCACTAGCATCCTTCACGAAATTCGCAAAGCACAGGGTTCAACAGCTTCGGTCGCTCAAAGGGGGAGTCAAGATTTGAAAATAGGACCACATCCACGATGTCCACCTGCCAGGGCTTTTGGCATCAGTATCTTTGCCATGCTTGAAGCCTGTGAGGAGAAGATGCAGCTGGCCTTTCTACTCCAGGTATTTCGCCAGGAGCTTCTTGGTCGGAGACAGGAACCTGAGGAATCGGAATTCCTTCGGGGACTTCTCGGGACCTTGCTCTCCATGCCCCATGCCAGGCAGGTCAGAAGGTCTAGGCTTCTTACTTGGAGTCATCTGCAGCACCTTTCCTGGCCTGGGTCAGGTATCCGCGCACCTGCCGGCGTGAAAACCAGCGAAGTTATGTGGCCCGAGGACATCAGTTCACTGTCGCTGCCTCCTTTGCCAAGACTTTCCCGAGCTCGACACCCCACCTAAGCCACAAAAGGCCTTGCCTTCCCACAATGTTTCTGGAGCTGGGACATTCGGACATTCCGAGCCCAGCACTGGTCAAATGAGTTGATGTCCCACAACCAGCCTGATGCACACTGATGCACATTGATGCGCATGCACACACACACACACACCTACCTTAGACGTTTTGAGCCCTAAGGGGCGCATGTGCTGTACACGATCGAACAAGGCGAACGAATGCAGAAACGCGCTCCTTGCACAGCGGTGCGGTGCTCGTAGAGCGCCAAAAGCTGTCCTAGCCTCGGGCGCATGAATGCGGAGATGCAAGATTCTCAAGCTCATGAAGCTACTGGCAGACGCCGGAATCGGGCCCACACCAGTGTGCATTGCAGACCGGCAGCAGAAGCGACCTATATCGCACAAGGGCTGGCGGATGATGGAAGTTTCTGTGCTGTCTGTGTTCGTTAAGGCAGGAACAGCGATGGTCTGTCTCCGGGGAAGGTCTTGTGTGCCACAAGCTTCTCCGGGATTCCATCTGCCTTTCTGTTGCAGGTAGGGCAGGCATTTTTGAACCCGAAACACTAGACTCTAAACCCTAAACCCTGAAACCCTAAAGCCTAAAGCCTAAACCCTAAACCCTAAACCAGGCAAGGCTTCCTTCAGCTCCTCGGCCGTCTTCCCCAACGCCAGAGCATCTGCCGAAACAAGGCTCTCGTCTAAAGAGCTGGGCAAGATGCACAAGAGCCGATCACTTGCGGCACGTGTTGCTGCTGGATACGGGAAAGTCTGGAAAATGGCACATCTTAAACCCTAAAACCCCAAACCAGTATTCCCCATACTGGGCCCACCTACGGCCCGAAGGCCTGGCTGCGCGAAGAAGTTGGACATGAGCTCATCGTGATTGGACACGGCTTCGCCCGGCAGCTCAACCTTCTTTTCGGGTTTAGGGTTTAGGGGTTTTGGGTTTTGGGTTTAGGGGTTAGGGTTCAGGGTTTAGGGTTTAGGGTTCAGGGTTTAGGATTCAGGGATGTGTTAGAGCGAGAGAGAGGAAACGCAGCTGGTTCTCAGTGTCGGCTCAGGAGCTGGGTTCTGCGAATTGGCGAAGCCAATGAAGTGAGATGGGATCACCCGGCCCTGGTGCATCAGCTGGTAGAAGGAATGCTGGCCTCGGGGGTTCAGGACGCCAAAAAAAAGACCCTTGCTGCTCGGCGGATCTCTTGGTCTTGGGCCATTGGTGCCAGGCTCACCGAAGTTGATGGCACCGGTTTCGACGGGCACCTCACTCCCATCCTCAGCAGCAGAAGCCACGAGCCCGAGTCGCCACATCATCATTTGGGGTTGAGTGGGGCCTTGAATTAGGTCCCTTTTGGGGCTCGTTTGTTTGGAAGAAATTCTTTCTAAAAAGGTGGCTGTAAGGGAGTTCAGAACAACCCTATCTGAGGACAGCACCATCTGCACACGTTTCCCATTGCCTAAGTATACACTCGGCAGCAGTGCCGTTGCTTTCATGCGTCTTGCTGCCAGGGCCACTTTCCATGTCCAGCTGTTGGATGTGCGGCACAAAGCGCACGAGGGCCTGTACTGCCAAGCGCTTGCCAAGCACTTGCCAAGCACAAACCAACAAATCCTTCCAGCCTGGCAATACGGCAGAATAGCGACGCCCTCGTGGCCCAGCATACTGCAGTTCCAAACCTTAGATGTCTATCGAGTCCCCTGCTACGCACCGAAGTTGCTTCAGTCTCACTTACATGAAGGCATGGATCTCTACGAGTAGTACATGCTAAGGAAGACGCGTCCAACAAGCCAATAATGAGCGGAAGGTTCTCCTTGGCAGGCGCCTGCGAGGCAATCAAAGGCAGGCAGGCCTGGCCGCCAGCCGACGATAAGATGACTTGAAGGCTAAAAGGGAGCCTTCTGGAAGTGCTCATCCATGGCATGCCTCAAAGGGTACTTCGGGCTTCTTTCCAGGGCAAACCCAAACCCCCCAAAAAAAGGCAGAGTCCCCGACCCCCCTTCCAGAAATTGGTTGACGATGCCGAATCCATACCTGAGCTCCATGCGTCATAGTGCGTCAGGCTGCGTGCGTCTACGGTGCACAGTAGATCCGTGTAGAGGCCACCCTCCCACCGTTCACTTCAACCTTGAGGTAACGCAGGGATAAGGGGGTTTCCGAAAATAGGGGGTATCCTTTTTGGGAGTCCCTTAAAGGGGATTCTATTCTATTTGGGGTAGAAGAGGAAATCCCCAAATAACAAGCCAGTCTACAGAAAAGCCCAGGTGCTGCAGCGACAAGGCAAGCACACCCACAGCGCTCCAAACGGAGAACCGGCCACCAACCTGAAACAGCTCTTTGGGGGATGTTTGGGATGGGTTAGCTCAAGGCTTGGACCACTGGGGTTTAGGGTTTAGGGTCTAGGATCTAGGGTTTAGGGTTTAGGTGGGCCTGGGGGACCGCGACCGGCAAGGGATTTCAGCGATTTTGCTCCGGGATGCTGGGGGGTGGGCCCAATCCCAGAAGCCGAAGACATTGTTCGAGTCGATGCCAAAGGCCTCAGACTCTCGTCCTCTGCCAAAAGTCTCTCAGACTCTCGTCCTATCGTAGGTCCCGGCCTGGGTCTTGTCGAGGGCGGTTGAGCAGGCCACGACATGCTTGGCAACGCCTCGGCACGTCAAGTTGTCGACTGTCAAGTTCAACAGACTCAGGTCGAGCGATTCTAAGCCGACGACAATCCGCACTGCCGAGCTCCTTCACAAGCCACGCCTGCTGGGGTGCGAGGGGAAACGGACGGACGGCAAAGACGGCAGGAACACCAGCCCGAAATGCTGGGCCTTGACCGTCTTTGCGTTGAGCATCGTCTCAGCCGTTGTAAACGTCTTCGAGATGATGACGACCTGGTCCAGGCACTGCCACAAAACTTGCACTCTCAGGACATGCAGAGGAATCTTCCGAGTAAAGAACTCGTTGCAGAATCCGAGGGCGGGGCCAACGTCGTCTCAGCGTTGAGCCCCTCCAGGGCCTTCAGTCAGTAGCCGCGCTCTCTGTGTTCAAGCATGCCCCTCCCCAAAGAATCAGCTCTGCAGTTTAGGCAAATCCAAACTCCCTGAGGTTCCCTGAGCTCGGCCCCTGGCGCGCTGCACATCAATCGGATCTACGTTCGCCAAAAATCGAAGCTTCCGGCCCTGTGCTGCTGCAGCTGCCTCTCACGGAGGGTTGTCACTGCCGTCGCTGCCGTCACTGCCGTCACTGCTGTCACTGGATGTTCAAGGATGCCGAGGTGCCTCCGGATCTGTCTTCAATGCTTCGTAGACGAACTCCACTCCCAAGTAGGAGCCGCCGATCCTGACCCCACAAACCTTCCTTCACCTGCCTGGCCTGCCCTTCCTCAAGGGGCCCAAAAGGATGCTTCCAACCATTTCAGGGTTTAGGGTTTAGGGTTTAGGGTTTAGGGTTTAGGGTTTAGGGTTTAGGGTTTAGAGTTTAGGGTTTAGGGTTTAGGGTTTAGGGTTTATTGCAAGGTCAGTTCGCAATACACGGCAGTAGCAGATTGCTCAGGCCCGGGCCCAATGCAAACCACATCGGTTAACGCTTTTCCCGTGAAACCTTTCCATTCTCCTGAGCGGACCTGCGCTGGCAAACCCTCACACCTGGTCTTCTTTGCACAAGCCAATTATTGCGAGGCAGTCTTCTGCTCGAGTCTGAAACTGACATTCGCGAACCTTGTCGGAGAACGCTTTCATGGCATCCAAGACCTTCCAGACCTGTTCAGGAGCTGGGGCAAGAAATGGTGGGAAGCCAGCTTCGTCCCGAAACACAAAGTTTCCAGTTCATCCGCAATCCGGTGAAGAACGATGATATCATCACCAGCAGACTGCATACTCACGTGTAAGCACAAGATGGCCGGCATACTTTACAGGCTTGAGCTCTGGGTGTATTTCCTGCCTGGTCATACTTTGGGTTTGTTCAGAACGCTTCAAAAGGGCCTGCTATGGCGCACCTTGAAGCGGACAATCGGATGGCAATTGCACTGTGTTGCATGGAGGCCTCACTTGCGACATCCCCAACTCCCAGATGTCAAACCTGCCAATCCCTTCTATTCGATATAAACCCTCAACAGCCCTCTTTCTCATAACAACCGGCTCCCCCTTAGACCAAAAACCCAAAGCGCGCCAGCCTCCGGCACCACGTTCTCCCCATCCAAACAGACGGATGCACTGCGAGGCGCTCGAAGTGCCGGATGGAGAACCTGTGATTCAGCGAAGATGCTTGGGGTGCAGTCAGTGCTCAGCTCCCTCAGCGCTCAGCTCCCGGAACTTTAAAAAAAAAAAACGTGGTGAGTGATGCTTTGCATCCTTTGCAGCCCTTGGGTTCCAGGCTGCTCTGCCCTCGGTCTGGTTGATGCGCTCACCTGCAAACCTCGGGGTGGGGGGGGGGACTGTTGCAAGATGCAGCTGCTTCGCCTAAGTAAGTCTTCAGGCTGGCCGCCGGCTGGCCAACTAAAGCTGCTGAGTTTGCGACATCTTGGCCTTCCTCTGCTCGACGCCGGTCTCAAGGACAGGGGTGTAAAACCACTTGAAGTTGCAATGGCCTCACTGCCTTGTCAGCTAGCTCGAAAAGCTTCGACCTGGCGACTTGTGGATGTCACAGTACCACTGCTGCCCTTCACACGGCATTTGAGAATCCACCCCGCTTTGCTGGGACGCAAACATAGTCTCGCTGTCGACCTTCTGCCGACAGTAGTCGAGAACCTCACACAGGGGAGTGAGAGATCACAAAGACTTTAGGATCAAAACAAACGCAGGACTATTTGGAGCCAGAGAGCTAGGGATAACAAAATACAGGAATCTCTGTACCCACGGGGTGGCCATACACAAACACAACTCTCGTATGACGGGTTGGGCAGGGTTACATAAAACATTTAGGCTCATTTCTTCCTTGCTTCCTTGCGGGCCCTCCTGCTCATCCCCTTTCTTCCTTCCTTTTGCTTCCTTCATCTTCCTTCCTGTCTTCTTGCCCCTTCCGCCATTCCTTCCTTCCCTCCTGCCTGCTTTCCTTCCTGCGTTGCTGCTTTTCTACCTCGAAATATGCGGCTGTGTTCAACATCGAGAGATTCAAGCCAGGGAGACAAGGCATTCGAGTGGTCACCAATAATCACCGCGATCCCCCCAAGCTGTGCACCATGGGTCCATTCTGCACAAACATCGAGTCATTGCGGGCCTCCACATGTAGCTGCATGCGGGAAAAGCGGCGCTTTGCAGACAAGCTGACTCTGAAACTCTGAAAGCCCGTGCCTGGTCCTGCATCAGTGACCGCAGATGTGCTGATTTCATTTTGGGCACTTGGCCTCGGTTCAAGCGACGGATTCGTGCCGACAACTAGGGGGCATTCACAACGCAAGGACATGACTGTCCACATCTCCTGCCTTTCAAGTCATTCCATAAACCAGAAGCCATAGCCTCAGACATCAGCACAGGCAGTGCACGTCAAGGTTTGTCAACTGTGTGTAGTCATGGTTTGCTGCTTTGGGCCTTTCCGAGCAGCCAACTCTCTGAAGTCTGAGGCAGCTAACTCCAGAAGAGGATCAACTGAAGGCTTCAGAAGGCAGCGGGCAAAGTGTTGCCGTACTACGCGACCAGGCAGAATCTCCAACTTATTTTGGTGTGCAAAACGACATCAAGCGCGCGCTCATGCACATCCAGACCTCACTGCTCCACATGTATCCATCAACGACCACAAACTGGGCACCATGAGAGGGCGCTTTTTGGGCCAGTTTTGGTTGTTATAAATCAACCAATACTAATTGAGCATCAAAAAATGTTATAGGCTTCTAAGAACAGTTTCACTGCTTCGGCGAGGTTTTGAGCATCTGCGACGGACGATTTTTTTGATTAAGACGGCGCTTAGCTCTTCAACGATTGTCTCTATTTCTTTGTACTTTTCTAACCTTAAAAGAATTTCTGACGACTATTCCCACGAATGATCGGACTTAAAGTATTGAATTTTACGTTGCTGCTGTGATATTAACTGCGTTATGTCTTCCTCTCACATACATGAGATTTAACACAGGTTAGTTTCTTGGCAATGCTTGACTATCAGCGAAGTCATCAGCAAGAATAAGGGGTTGAGAATACATGCTTATGGTCGTCCTTCGCTTTGCTTTATATAACCTTGTCTACCTCTGCTGGTGTATCTTCGTGGCATCGATACTTCTCCTTGTTTTCATCGGACTTCAACTCGCCTTGGACGGGATTTTTAACTGGCGCCCAACTATCTACAGATACAGAAGGAGACCAAAGATAAATACACGCAAAGACATTTGTACAAGCAACCAATATCATAGATGGTACTAGAATGCCTTTTCCTGATTACATATGGGTGCTTTCAAAGAAGGGGAGGTACCTTATTGGGGTCCCTAGTATAAGGGAATCCTATTTGGAGTCTTTTTTAGGGGTCACCCATCTTCGTAAACTTCCAAATATAAATGGTGTGTGTGTGTGTGCGTGTATGGCGTGTAACCCTAAACCCTAAACCCTAAACCCTAAACCCTAAACCCTAAACCCTCCCACCGCCCAGCTTGAGCTCACGGCATGAGCTGAGATTGCCCGTAGTTAAGAGTCACGGATAGTGGACAGCATGAAGCGACACGAAACAGGCAGGGGCTACATACTAACAGTATATTCATCACATCAATAGCACTATGAATACAACAAGAATCTGATGATAATAATGCCATTTTGCAGTCTTCCCGCATGGTGTGGTCTAAGCTTTGCGGCTGGCGCGAGTCCTTCGCTGCAGGTATGGCTCTTCCGGTAGACATCGAACCGTTGTCTTGGACAGAGTGCAACTCTTGCCTCAATCCTCTCTGTGCTGTGGTCGTACATTGAACGCCATGCCTGTCAGAAAGTGCGCGCACGGGAGTCTGCGTGTACAGGTGGGGGCGCTTCCGCGCACCCATCCTGAATAAGCTGCTGGACTGCGCGATGCCAATCAGGCTTTCAGCTCTGATCAAACACTTTGTGATCTGTGATGACAGCTTTGGATGGATCAAATGCCGTTCAGAAGTGGAGCACAGAAGCTGTACACCAGCTCTCCAATCCCAAGCTGCCTCTCCACAAATGCTCAGCAGCACCACTTAAAATTCAGCCCGAGCAGCGCTTCTTTGGAGCCGGGCAGGCTGCCAAGAACTGAAGAATCGTCTACCCGAGTCCACCCTCAACTTCGCCCAGAGATACGGATAGATCGGCCTCAAGCTAAAAAAACCTGAATATTTTTTGGTACCCAAAAAAGTGCAATAGGCCTTACGACTACCCTCGCTTCGTGGGCTCGAAGGTTGCGTTGCGGCTCAGAGGCTGAAACTCAACGAGGCTTGCGCATCCTCAAGTTGAAGCCTGGTCCTCACTGGCCTCGGCTCTAACTTGGGGTTAAGGGGTTTGAGGATTGGGGTTTAGGGTTTAGGGTTTAGGGTTTAGGGTTTGGGAACTACACATTCACCCCGATTGCAGAGGTGAGCCAAGGGGCTGGAACAGCCTGTGCGTCAGCTGGAGCCGGTTGCTCGGCAACGGGACTCTCCGTCCTCGCATCCAGACAGCTGGAAAACCCGAGCTGCGTGAAGCTTCGGTGAATGGAAGACCCTCTTCATCCTCGTCTCAGGAGCTGCAGACCCTGAGCAAACCCAAGGTCAATGCATCATCCCCAACCAAAAGCAGGGGAAAACTCAAGAGCCTGCAGAGCCTGCATCCCCACCACCTCCACGCAGCCTGCAGATCAAGACCAAGTCTGCGCAATATCTGGCCAGGCATGCACTCTTTTTTGCAGCTTGCAATGGCTGATGTTTTGGTCCAACTCGGGCAAGGAACCCACTGCGCCTCTTTTCTATTTAATGGTCCATTCTGAACCTTGACATTCAATCAACTTGAACGGAAGATCCAAGTCAGACAACTTCTCATAGCATTCGTCCAAAGATGTGGCTGTCACTCCTGTTGCGCATACTCTTGTCGTCGGTGACCCAAACATGTGCTCCTTCTTCCTCCGACGACCGAAGCATGGAGGTGGGATTCGAAGGAAAGAAATTCAAAAAACCCAAACACTAGTCAAAAACTGCATCGTACTGTATTTACTCTGTCTACATCTATGGGCACAGCGGCTCAGAGGCTCAAGCCGAATCTAAAGCCTACGCTGCTTGCATCCGGCACGCCATGTCTTGACGCAGACGCCCGCGCTGGTGAGAGCAAGCTGGAGCTCGTGTACTCCACCATTGGCCCAATCGAAGCACTTGTCACCAAGCTTGCCACGTCCAGGACAACAACGCATCTCAGAATCCGAGCCTGAAGACATGGAACCCTCAAGCTAAAGTCCCCTAAAGTTTAGCCACAGTTGCAGTCGCCTGAAACCCAACACCGCTCGAAGCAACTTGCTACGAGAGCTGTGTTCGAAGCGCACGGCACAGGTGAATCTAAAGTGAACTGCAGAGTCGAGTTGAAAGTCAGCCGATAACAGAACAACATCCAAACAAAGTTTTTCCGTCGTACGATCTCAAAATCTTGGGACCCAAGAAAGGGGGCACAGAGGCCAAAAGGCAAAGAGGCAAGGAGTGCAGGATGCGTAATGGGGTGCGTGGAATAGCCAGCTCTGGGCACTGGCCTGGTTAAGCTTGAGATGAGTTGAGAATGTCAGTATCCAATGCAACAGTGATCAACACCCCTTTGTGGGATTTAGGCTTCGGGCTGGACGTGCCTATTCCAGTGAATCCACGATGACCTGAAAGAGTCTGGCTTGCACAGCGACTGCCATAGCAGAGCTCAGCATAAGCAGCATAGTGGTCGGACCTCACGCCACTGAAGCGGATCCATGACATTGCAATGCAGAAGGCAAACACTCTACGGACCACTCTGTCAAGCAACAGGTCGTCCACGGAAATGGTCGGCGATGTTATGGCGCTGGGGAAGCAGGCATCTGATTTCATCGGCAGGTACTGCCATCTCATGCTTTCCGGACTCGTGTACCTGGAGGGGAGGAACACTGCCAGTTCAGTCAGCCAGCCAGCCGATTGAGGCGAGGCACTTGCCACTGTCCGACACATAGACGATCTGATCATGCGGGCTTTTTTCATGTGCTTCCTGGACAGGCAGATACCGGAAGCTGAAACAAGTGCAATGACAATGAGAAGTGCAAGATGGAAACACACTGTGGCACAAGCCAGTCCGCGGGATCATAGTGCAGGTAGGCATTCTGCCCACCACCTCCCTTGGTATGTGCTGGCACTGCCTATGCTGGCATGTGCACCTGCATAAGCAGCGTCATGATTAATTACATGCATGCAGTCAAGTAACATACGAGCTGTACTTCAGCGGCGTACGCAGCTGGAGCCAGAAGCCAGACTCTGCGAGAGGTGTGTTCTCTGCATGCAGCTCCTTGCAAGAAGAAGACGTGTCCAGACCACTACTATGAGACTCGAACTCTCCGTCGTCATTGAGTGCACTTGCAGAACATCAAGCATATCTCAGCCAGGCTGCTGTCTTCATCGTTTCAATCTCGGATGTCTCTGTGTTCATGTCTCCTGCAATTACCACCCGGGACCCTCCTGGAATTGTCGCTTCAATATGCCTCCACATTTGCTTCCACCTGAAGCACATGGAACCATGCTAATGCATGCTATTTCCATGCAATGCCACGCAGACATGCTCGAGGACCGAACTGCTTCACACGAAGTCCAGCATTCTTGGGCCAGGCTTGCGTGTGCGAGCCGACAACCCACACATCCCCGATGGACGGATGGTGAACTCGTACTCGCAGGAATCCCTCATCGGACAGACACACCAGGTCACTGCACTTGTTCTGCTGAATGCCGCCGACCTCCATACACTACTCATTTGATACGCCAAGCCTTCTGAGACATACCATCTTCGAGGTCATGGTCCACATACGCTTCCTCGTGGGGATCCGACATGGTCAGTCCTTTTCGCACCATGATCACGACTCCACCTCATCCAATGTCGGTGCCACATGATATAGTCGATATAGTTGCTGCAGCACGCGATTACAAAAACTATTGGCTTGCTGCTGCTTGATTGCTCAGGGATGAGTCTTGATGGACGCAAGAAAGGCCAAGTCAAAACTGCAGACACACACGATCAAAGCATCACACGTAGACTTGTCTGAAACTGATGAGACGGACATTCGACTGGACAACATCAAGCATGCTCAGTGACTATCGTCGTCATTTTTGGGCTAGGTTTCAGGCCCCAGACCAGACCACAGGAATGATCGTTGGGATGTGGGTTGTGTCCCTTGTGTCGTCGCCGTGCCAGACACCAGGACTGGCATATGCTGTCGTCTGCGAGGTGCAATGCTGAAGACAACATGTAACACGTTGCGGGGATGAGGTTTCTGTCCCTGTTGAGGATACCAGCTGCGGACGCAACCACTCAGGTACTCCTCATAGCAGGTACGTTTGCACGTCTGCTACTCATGGTCTTCGTTGGTCCCAGCATGAGTAGCAGATCTGGGACCCCCTGCATGAAATCGAAAAAACTGGCGTGACCCCAGTCCTGCATGTACAGCAGGTTACACACACACACACACACACACAGCAGTCACTGACGACGGAAGCAAAGGTCGACGGCTCGGTACACAGGGAGTCGGATCGACAAGACAGCGGCCTTCAAGAAAGAAGCCCAAACTTCACAACTCAACACGCCGCAGAAGAGAGCTGAAGAGCCGTTTTCGCAAGACCTCACAGAAACGAATCGCCAAACCTGGACAATAGACTTCTCTGAAGGCTGTCGTGGGCACTGGGACTTCGGGCATTTACACTATACACACTGCATGGACCACTGTGGACGCCAGCGGTTCGAAGGTTCTTGGGGGTTCAAAGGTTATGGACCAGGGCTTCAATGGGCTTCAGCGTTAAAGGGGTATGTGAACTCAGCCTCTTTGAAATGCCAGAGGCATCTAAAGGCATGCTAAAAGCACCTCACAGAGATAGCCCCAGATGTCTGTGGCTCATTGCTCACTCCGTGTGCACAGTAGCTCAACTTGAGCTAGGTGGCCCGAAATTTTGATGTATCCAGCCGGATTGAGCACTCGAGTTGCAGAGCCGAAATGGCCGCTGTCGCAGTCGAGGATCCTCCCGCTCTGTCCATTGCGCTTCCACTTGGAATTGCAGAGTCTCTTGAAGATGGTGCTTCCAGCTTTGGAGAAGATCTCATTGAAGACCACGACATCCTTGGGGAGAGCTGAGTTTCGTGAAGACGAAATCAACAGCTTCCGTGCACCGCGCAAGAGCACAAGAGCACAAGAGTCAGGGTCAAGGCGAGCTTAGATGCAAGCTGGTGTCCGGGACCTCCTCCTCCCGGAGGCTCTGGAACCAGGTGACCAATCCGTCAGCCCTTTGTTGCATGTCCTCACTCTCAGGGCGCTGGGAGATTTCTAGACTCCAAAGATCCAGGCAGAGTCTGAATCTGAGACCCGGCAACACCTTGCTAACAATGCTTGTGGGCTGTGTCGTGCAACACTTCTGAGGACTCAGCGGGCTTGGAGCCAAAGGCCAGTGCTCGGGCGACGCGAACCTCCAACAGGAAAGTGTTGACCTCAGATCACTGTACCGAGATATTACATCGGAAGAATGTCCGAAGATGGGGACATGCACTCGCATGCAGCATGTGAATGAGGAAACAAGGCAGCTGACATTCATGATGGACAGCACATCTTCACGGCCCACTCGAGCTTGAGCATGGCCCAGATTTCGATCAATGCTCTCCCTGAAGCTTTCCCCACCCACAAAGAGCAGGAGGAGCAGCGGCTTCTGCATGGAGAGCATTGTGGCTGAATGATCAAACAAATATCAGACAACGTCGACTTGAGCCTTCTGCGGCAAGTCAAGCACACTTACCGTTTGAGACACCTCCTGATGCGTAAAGTGGTCTGGTCTTCTGGAAGGCCCTGAACCCAGCACTGCAGGCCCCCAGCGATTCCTCAAGTCCGAACTTGTCCGAACTCGTCCGAAACTCGTCCGAAACTCGTCCGAACTCGTCCGAACCGCTAAACCCTAAATCCTAAACCCTAAACCCCAAACTTGCCCCCGAGACCGCATGTCGCATGCCTGGTGAGCTCCTCTTGCATCTGCTGAATTCTCTGCTCCTCCTGCTTCTTCTCCTCTGAGGCCTTCCTTCGCAAAGAGCTTTTTGGATTTAGGGTTTAGGGTTTAGGGTTTAGGGTTTGGGGTTTAGGGTTTGGGGTTTAGGGCTTAGGGTTTAGGGTTTAGGGTTTAGGGCTTAGGGTTTAGGGCTTAGGGTTTTAGGGCTTGGGGTTTAGGGTTTAGGGTTCTCAAACCTCCGACTGTTGCAGCTACTCAACCTGAGGCACCCGCTGGAGCTGCTCTCGCAAGGCCGTCATCTCCTTGACAAGCCACGGGAGGCCCCGCAATATGGGCATTTCCCAAAATAGGGCGGGTGCCCCTTTTGTACCCCAAATAGAATAAAAATAGAATCCCCCTTAAAGGGGGCCCCCAGAAAGGGTACCCTTTTGTCGTAAAGCCCCCACATGGCCATGAATATGTGACCAATGACCACAGCCCAACCGATGCCCTCTACATCCCGGATCGCTTCTCCCGAGCTTGGCTGACCGGCCTTTTGATGCTCCTCAAGCTTTGTCAAGTGGTCTGTGACCTGACGCGGGCACCATAAGCAGACTCCAAGGGTAGTTACATGGCCCCTCAGCATGGGCCCTTAAATGGGTACCTCTTATATACCCCTTATATGCCCTACACAAATGAATATAAAATGAAGGGCCCATACATCAGAACCCTTGAAACAAGATTAGGGACCAGATCAAGAGCCCACGAAACTACCCTTCAACAGGCGCAATCTAGAACCGCGACGGAAACCTATCAAAGAACACCGGGCGCCCGGCTTCTTGGTGCGCCTGCTGAGCATGTGCCTGGCAAACACATACAAACGCGTTGTAGCTTGCACGAGGCGAGTCCACTCGTTCGTCCTCGCCTGGTGGCGTCTGGCAATTTCTTCCTGCTGGTCGCGCTCCTTCTCGAGTGCCTTGTGATTCTGACACAGTTCGGTACACCCGGTGAGGTGCACTCATAGCTAGCTTCTACTCTACCTTCCTTCTACCAGTAGATTCAGGTAGATTCTACATGTTACGTAGCAAGCTGCAAGCTTGCGCGCAGTCGATAGTTTGTTTACCTAAGTCGTGGAATCCCGAACGTCCCGGTTGCACCTGTCTAGCTACCAACGCTCTTTTGCGCGGCCCCAGAGGACCACCAACTTTACCGTGATTAGGCTAGATTAGGTCTGAAAGTGATGCTAGATACCTTGGGCAGATTGGCAACCTCGAAAGCTCTTGCAAAACATCCAGCTCACTGCGAGGCTGTGAAGCTGCTAGATGCACTTACAGCTTTTCCCAGCTGAACTCGCCTGTGTTGAACACTCTGCTCAGGGGTAAATGGACCAAGGCAGCCACTTCGGCACGCTGCTTGTGCAATTGGAGCTCTTGCTTCACCTCCTGATGCCTTGGATTCACGAGGAACAAGCCTTTGCAGCCCCTTTTGCAGCCCTCTTGCCGAGGCTTTGCGGTGCACTCTGTGGTTGCACAAAAACTTAGACTGATGAGCTTTCGGCTTGTCTGCGAGATCCTTCGCCCTGTCGGCTTCCTCCTGGACAGTCGCTTTCCCCCTATGATCGCCAAGGTCGAAAAGCAAACTTGCGCGGTCGTGATGGCTCCGCGAGTCTGGGAAAAAAACCGGGCCCTCGGGAAAGGAGAGTGTTCTAGAGGAATCCTACGACAGAGGATCAGCCACGCAGCTCATGCAGCCCGCTCCTGCGCCTTGAGCACGCTGGTACGATGCTTTGTCTCCAGCTCGTCAACCTTCAGCCTGCGCAAGCCACAGGTGCCCAAGCCCATCCCAAGCCCATCCCAAGCACATCAAGGCAGCTGATCCAAGCTGCAGGCTGCAACTCCGTGTGATTGAGCTGAATCTCACGGTGCTTCGCCTGAACAGTTGAGTGTGTTCTCGCGACGGTCTGTGCAGTTCTTTTTTCCGCAGTACGGCAAGCTGCTCCTTGGCTTCATCTAGCTCGCGCTGCTGCTCAGAAGTCTTTTCCAGAAGCTCTACCTCCGCTCCAAGTGCAGATTGTACACAGCGTTGCATAGCGTTGCGGCACAGCATGGTCTGGGAAGACTGCATCGCAGGCTAGTCTTGACTCTGGGACACTGGCAATCTTCTTCTGTGATTTCAACTCTGCCTGGACGCTGCGACACCGTGCTGTGGCGCCGGGCTGAGGAGTGCGACCATGAGTTCTCAATGATTGCCGGTCCTCTTCGTGCTGCCGGCGGAGTTTGGTCAACTGTTCCTCCAAGGCCTGTGCATCGTGCTCTCCCTAGGGCCCTTGATCCGTTGCCGCATGCTCAATGTGACTCTCATGTGGCATCTCCCTGCCTTCCGCTCGGCTTCTGAGACGCCGTCATGCTCCCTCTCTATGGACGGCTCGAAGTCCTGGGGACTGGCTCACACCGGCTCCTTTGCGGGGCGACCTTCAAAAGCTCAAACAAGTCGCAGCGCTGTTTTGTCTTCTGCGCTAGCAGAGCGTTCATGTCATTATGTTAATCAAACATTTGCCAACTACGTGGAAGGCCGAAGTCATAGGCTCCTGCTGCTTCTGTGTTCTTTTGAACCATGAGACACAGTACAACACATGCCGTCGTGTGCAAGCTGAGGGTGTTCCAAGAACTGGCGCGGTTGCAAAGTAGGTACATGAGATTTTGTAAATGAGACGTTGTAACCTTAGCTCGATGCAGAACGCTAGATGCACGTTTGTTAGACAGCTAACAAGCCGCTCGGAGCATGCTGGCCTTCTCAACTTTCAGAAGAGCTTTGCTTCTGCTATTGGGATAGTCACTGATGACCACGGGTGGCTATATGACGGGCGACTGGTCAAGTCAGACACCAGCTGAGGACCTGCCAAACAAGACCGAGCCGGGAACCCAAAAACCAAGCCCGCAGCGGTTTGAACATGTCGAACGCTCGAACGCATGTTCGGGGGTCAAGTAACCGACTTTTTGCGCGCACGTTGCAACAAACAAACAAACAAACAAACAAACAAACAAACAAACAAACAAACAAACACACGCACACACGCACGGGCGCACACACACACACACAGACAGAGACACACAGACAGAGAGACACACAGAGAAACCACAAAAGAAGATAGATCAATTCTACCCAGATGCCGCAACACATACAGTTGAAGATCAGCTCAACTCACAGACCTCCCTGGATAGCGCACACGGTGTACTCAGGAGGCATTTCAAAGCAGCTGTACCAACGTGAGGAGACCCATGCACAACACAAACTCAAGAGAGTTAACTGCCAACAGGATGCCTCTGTCCCTACCATGCACAGGGCACTGCAGGTGCACATGGCAAGACTCGTGCCTCCTGGGCCTCGGACAAGAGACTGCTCTTTTCTGCAAGATCTGCCATCTGACTCTTGTGACTGTGGATCATTAAGTGACCACCTGAGAGTTAAGGCAAGAGCTTTGCACGTCGAGAGGTCCAGTGCTCAGTGGCACGACGCGGCGACCAATGGCCTGCGGAGTAGGTGACTGCGTTAGAAAATAGAACGAATCAGACTCCTTCTGGCCTGTCATGGCGGCGTCCTTCAGTGTTGGGGGGATCCTGGCGCATCACAGCTAACATAAGCAGGGACCGACACAGGGACCGACATGTGATGCCGCATGTGGTCACACGTTGTCACACGCGCGGTCATGTGCGTGGTCACGCGTGGTCACACGTCTCCTGCCCGGCTTGTGCCATAAGGCCGACTGGCCCAATGGGGAGCCTTCACGCACTGGCTCCATGGCTCTCTTTCTGCTTCGAGGGCTGCCTCGCAAGTGCGGCCCGTGATACATCGTGGACTAAACATGTTTGCAAGAGAAAAAGCAGTGCAGCAACCGGCTATGCCGGTTGCGCTCTGTTCTTGGAGGCCAGTGGCCTATAGTACTTGCTGAGGGTGATCCTGGCTCAGCCTGAACACTGAATCAAAGCAAACGCGCATCAGGCAGCGACTGCATCACGGCCCGGCCTGGGGCATGCTGATGGGACCGAAGCCAGCCGAGATCAAGCGATCACTCATGCGGGCATTTTCCGCCTTGTGACGATACACAGGGTGGTCTGGAGAAATGCCGAGGGCAGCACTCTCAGCTCAGAGAATCTTGGACCCTTGCACGCAACGAAGCCTGCATGATGCAGATCAGATTAGGAGCAAGATACGAGCAGTAGCGAGCACCCTCACTTGAATCTGAGCCCATCTGAGCTTCAGGTTGCTGCTGCACCTACAGCTGAGCCAGCTGCCATTTCGTGCAGCTGCTTCACAACCTGCGGGGGATGTCTGAACTCCTACTAGTCTGTGAACAGGCTTCTTACCACCTATTTACTTCAGTCATCCCACCCTACAGCTACCCGATGTGGGGGCCATCCTGCCGTTTCGGAAAGTACTTGTGGATACTTCGCCGCGGACTGGGCACTCCAGGGATACTCGGGGGGACTCTCTGTGGGTTGCTCTGGGGGTGGCACTCCAGGGACCAAGCAGGCCGGGGCTAAGGAGGCGAGAAGAATAGTTGACTAAAAAGCCAGCACCCCCACACCGAGAGTGGGAATGACGAAAGGCTAGTTCCAAACTTGTTCAACATGCTGGCTTGCCTCTTCACGCAGGGCTTCATCATTGACAGGAACAGCTGCATCCTGCATGCACTGTGTAGGGATATTGTAGGGAGCTGCTGACATTCGGTCGGCTTGATGAGGTGATGGTTGGACAAGTCCTCGCCCTCGGAGCTATTGTGCACAGAAGCTCTCGCCGTCCTTGCCTGTCATGAACTTCTCATGCACATGCCCAGGTTCAAAGTCAAACAAGCAGGCTTTCTGCCAGAATCGACGCACTCATCATTCAGACTCGCGGTCGCAAGAGTGTGAGCTAGCTCCAAATCAATGTCAGGCGGGCGCGATATCGTTCGAGACCACAAAAGCGGCAATATGGAGCATCAGGGGCTAAGCGATTGCCTCAGCGACTGAGTCAAGATACATTCCGAAGTCCGAGCCCAAACCCGAGCCTAGCATGTTCCACGTCAAAAAACAGCAGGGACTGCTGCAGAGTCTATTGAGACGCCAGGTCACCGCAGTTGTGGCAGGTGGGTCCCTCGGAGCTGACCGACTTTGCAGAGGCCTGGCGCAGAATCTCCGGGTTCAAGGCTCCTGGAGCGGGATTCGGAGACCACGCTCTCGAGGACTTTGCCGGCACCGTCTCTTTCGGAGACTGCGGAGCATGCGGCGCATGGGGAGCCGGGGCTGTGAGTGTGGACGCAGTCCGAACTTGCGTCGACGGCTTGGCGGTCAAGATGAAGCTGCTGGCGCTCTCGTTCCGAGGAAGACTTTGTGCGCCCTGCGCTCCCTGTGCTCCCTGCGCTCCCTGCGCTCCCTGTGCGCTTTGCATGCCTGTGTTTGCCGTCATCACATTCACAGAGTTCGCACTCTGGGCTCGTGATGGAAGATTGCTGGTGTCTGTACGGCCACTGCTTCGTCGTGCGACTCCGGTGGTGATCGGCTCTGTGTTTGCAGGCGCCCTAACCATGCGAGGAGATAGCGTTGCTGGAAGGCATGAGTACACCGCTGGCCCTGTCGAAAGCCTGATCGCCGGACTGCGGCCAGCTTGCAGATTCTGTGGGCAGCCTGATGGTCTGCGCCACACATGGCCTCCAGGAGCACTACGACTCCGTAGAACAGCATCACCAGCTTCACCGGTTCTATGACCGAGATCCGAGCACATCTTGAGAGCTTCCGTGCCACAGTCGGCCAGCTCTGAGCAAAGCGAATTGACCCGTTGCCGCAAAGTGCCCAGCTGAGGCTGTGCACTTCGCAGCTGAGCATCCAAGTTGCTGCGAACAGCATGCAGCTCCTTGCGCAAGCCACCTATCTGCTCCTTCAGATCGACTATGGCTGCTTCCGTGTCAACTCCTTCCGGAGTTTTGCCTGTGCCGTCTGCCGCCCGTGTGGGATCCAAACTGGGGTCGGCACTGGGGGAACCCACAACAGGTGGTGGGTCACCGTGGCGAACGGGCTGCGACGGTCGCATGGTGCGCTGCTGGATAGGGGGTGCCGGACGTGGCGAGATGGCAGGTGGTGGCTGCTGGCCCCAGTTCTGATTTGGCCCCGCAATCGGCTCCGACAGGTAAACAGATCTGCGACCGCTTTGAGGAGGTGGGTGGGGGGCCGGAGCCTGACCCATAACCAAGACAGGCCCAGGCGCTGGCCATCTCCAAGAAGGAGCGACGGCGGTGGGAGCCAGGGTTGGGGCAGCTGCTGAATAAACCGGCAGGGCACCCAGGGCAGTCAAGGTACCAGGAACCTGCACCGGGTTTGAAACTATTGGCTCATGGAGGGCTGCCAGTCCGTTCATGGGCCGTCGAAGCGGAGGGGAGAGACTGCAAATGGCGATCCTCAATTATTCTCATTCGCCTGGGCCTAGTCCTAGCTCGCAGAAAGACAGGTGATCAAGATTTTGCAAAGGAGATGCTGCCCTGCGCGGGGCGTTCATGATTGTGATGCTTCTAAGGGTAGACAGTTTGAGGTGCGTTGGCTGTAAACTCTGAACTTGTGCACTCTCTTGGCCAAGCGGACGGGCTGAGTTGTAGCAAGCGCCAATTATACAAATCAGACACGCAAACAAAACTGCATCACGGTATAACCCAGGATGGACGATACCCTCCTCCGCATCACGTTCATGAAGATCTTCAGCTTTCCCCTTTGCGCGGTTGCAACAAACTACAGGCATGCAACAATGCCAACCATGCAGAACATCACGGCAGAACAATTTCTCCACGCCTTTACATGCTTGCTCTTCTCTTCCTGATGCAGACTGTCAAGCAAGCCACGAATGCCTCAGCCTGGCGACATTTCGGGCTCTGTCCTGCTTTGACTTCAGCTGATTCAAGTGTTCCCGAATCTTTTCTTCCATGGCCTTTGGCAGCTGGCAGATGCGTCGTTTCTAAGGGAAACTAGGGATACCTAGGGGGTCGGCAACCCCTTTCTTGAAGCTTTGGGTTGAAGCTGATCGGAACAGTCGACGGGACAGCTGTCTCACGCTCGAAGAATGATGAACAGAGCCTTGACTGCGTCATCATGCTCCTTCTCCTTCTCCTGCGCTCTCCTCCAAGCCATGTTCGACAGTTCAAACACTCGCGGCGCTGCAGTGCATGGTTGCACAGAGTCCTCTGTGACTTGGCAGGATCGGCCCTGTTCAGGACGTCGGCTATGCCCTGCGCCAGGCACTCTCTGGGTTGCGGTGCAGGAGCTGAAAGCGACAGAAGCAGAGGCCGGAAACACGCACACTTCACACGTGAGTTTCGGGGCCTGGACCCCATACCTACTGTCCACAGACATGTCCAGAACAGAAATGTGGGCCGTTCGATGGTGGCTCGCCCTGCGCTTGAGGAAAGATACCTCTTTGCCTGTCACAGCCTTTGTTTGAGGTCATGCCAAGGAGACCCGAAACCTGGACCGAGCTCGCGAGGCACTCGGCTGAGATAGAAAGCCCTCCAAACATGGAAATCACGCAAGAGAAATCCAACCCAACTAGCTCTCGGAATTGGGGGTCACTCCTCGTAGTCAAGAAAAGGCAGTCGCTAAGGAAGCCACGCAAAAACCCTGATGGTGTGCTGAAAGCTGCACGCTTCGAGTTAAAAGTCAACGCAGGCCCCGTCCTTGAACTTGTTGGATGCCGCATAACTTGCGGCCGTGTGGCCGTAAATGTTCTTGAGGTCCTGCGCTGAGCTCAGAGATGGCCAAGTCGAACCACAAGGGTTCCGGGTTTGCGTTCTTGCTGGTGACTTCTCGTGGGTTCGATATTGCTTTTATTTCTTGGCCTCGCCGTGTTCATGACAAGGCGATGGTTGTGGCGCCGTCCTACGTGCCAGAATGTGTGCCCGCCTCATTCCATGATGGAAATCGCGGCATGGGAACTTGAAATGCGAATCACTCGATGTTGTGTACTTTCTCATCACGTCGTGCCCTTCCAGTACGTTTAGAGGACTTCCAGAACTTCTAGTTGGCTTTGTTGTAACGGTTGGGGGGCACGTCCGCCCCACACTGGCAACAGTGTTCTTAAAATGCTCTTCAAGGCGCTGTACTCTGACTTGAACGTGTTTGAACGATGTTCCCTGGAATATGCTCCATGTGGGTATTGCTGTCTGTCTCTGTTTCCGTTCTTTGTTGCTTCCTCGTTCACTCTTATTCCTACGTATTTCTCTTGTCTTACCTTGATCTAAGTCTCTTTCTTTCTGGTGTGACTTCAGTACGGAGTACAAAAGTACTCGTTTACCTTCTACCCATGGAGGCCCAGTATCCGTCGACCAGGGCCGAGGAGAATAGCTGACTTGAAAAACTGCACACTGACCACTGATTACCCTGCACCGCTGGGGAGCCACAGAATGCAACATAAACCAAAACAACGAGGCTTGGACGAACCACACGGTGCTTGGTGCGGTTCAACTCGCCTTGTTGGGATTGCTTTTCAGCAGCTCCATGACAACCGCGAGGTGCCCATGATAGGCTGCATAATGCAATGCCTCGGCTGCATTCTATCAAGTTCCTGTTCCCACAAGGAGAACAGCGATGGCTGAGCCCATGCACCGTATTTCCATGGTCGTCAGCAATGTCGACTGCAATCTGGGCCGTTGGACAGAACCGAGTAAGCTGGCTGCAAGCTGGTTGGACAATGCGTCTCTACAGGGTTGCCGACATTCGGCATCATTCGCAAAGCTTGAACCTGGCGAGAAAAGCTGGGGGCAAATGGCAAAAAAGTCAAAGATGCAATGAACAAAAACGGGCTCAGGCCCTGCTCATGCCATCTTCGCGGACGGGATGATAAACGAGGCTGGCTGGCAATGTCTTTGTAGCCTCCACCTGCTGCTTCCATAAGTGGGGTTCGACCACCTGGCAGTACGGGTTTTGGGGCTTACAGGGCTTTGAGTTTGGAGTTTACGGGGCTTTGGGTTTGGAGTTTAGGGCGGTAGGGCTTGGGGATCAAGGTTTAGGTCTTAGGCTGAGGGTCTACTGTTCAGGTTTAGAGCCTAGGGCTTCGGGGGTTTATGCTTTGCATTTCACATTCAGGGCTGAGGGTTCCTTGGCTTTTGCGTTCAGGGAATGCAGGGCGGTACCGAGGGCGAGGAATGGTTGCTGACCAAGGGGCCGTTGCCCTCATTGGGCAACTCGGGATCGGCACCGGCCCGCAGGAGGGCCGCAGTGCATTGCCGGAACCCCTGTGCAAATGCTTGGCATTTGGGAAGCCGTGAAGGTCGGGGGCCCCAAGGCGCCAATGCTAGTGAAGGGCACACACTCCCCAATCACTTTAAACCCGCCGCACCTTGGCAGCTGCATAGATGAGGGCTGTGTTTCCGCTGTCATCGCGTGCATCCACAAGATCCCTGAAAGCAAGCAATGGCAGAAGGCAGAGCCTTGCAAACCTGGTGGCATCAGCAAGTCACCACAAGGTTCCCTCCACGGAGTCCTGTAGCCCAGATCCTCGTTGCTGATGAGCTCCTTGACAATCTGCGGATACCTGCCCAATGCGGAGTGTTCACACACGCAGCTGCGGGTTGCTTTCTGGGTCGCACCCATCATTCGTTGCGAAGATCAAGGCCTCAGCGACTTGAACCGCAGTTGCCACAGGAAAGCTGCAACTTCACGCTGGCTTGCTCAACATGCATCACACACGTTCGCATACTTGATGCTTCTTAGCATCTCCACTAGCTGAGGGTGCAACGGCATCACCATACTGCTGCACGTAGCTATTCACATACCTCTTCTCATATTTCTCATGGAGTTCATACAGCAACAACCATGCGATCTCGCACACAGCGTATCCACGCTCAAAAAAGGAATACTCGGAGCGGGAGCACTGAGACACCTGACCCTGAGGAAGCGTTGCCTCCTCCGGGCTCTAAGAATCTATCATGTATGTACGGCATATATAAAATATATGTATATATAGATGTACATATGTATAGTATTTGGTATTTTCACGTAGTATTGTCCTATATAAACATTTTTTCTTACTCCCAAGCTTCAAGGTCACAAAATAGATTGCAACATGCCGCACAAATGCGCGCAGAGCCGCTCTCCTCTATCGGCGCTCCATGGTTGAGTACCGGGGCCCCTCGGGAGATCCTGCGCCGTTCCAAGAAAGAGTAGCAGTTCTTGGCAGCACGGTTCTTGGAGCCAGTCGTGTAAAGAGACTTTGGTAGCGCACCAGCCACTAAACATCCAGGAGAACCAGGAGAATGGAGGGAAAGACCTGACACGTGGAAGAAGCACAATCCTTGGGCCTCGAGCCCTTGCAAACGGTGGAACGTCGCGTCCGTGAGGACGCGCAGATAGCGGACCCGTGGGACAGACCAACGTCACGGCTGTATTAAGGGTTGAATTAGTTAGGTGTGCTGCATTTTGTTGCTGTGAGGCTCCAGCAAGAGGGAAAGGAACAGGTCGTATACCTGGCAGTTGGCCAGTGGATTGAGTCAGCAAGCCTCATCAGCACCGGCAAGTCGCCAACAACAGTTCTACTGCAAGCAAGGCTGCCAGATAGAGCGGCCACATCACATCCCACCTGAAAATCAATGCGGGCAGTACCTTACCCTCCACGCCCTGCTGCGGTTCATCCTGAGCACCCTGCCCGAGCAGCAACCAGCCGAGGAGCCAAACACCAGCGACGCCCAGTCCGACCTGTCAGGTTAAGGACTGGCTTGAAAAGCTTTTCCTAGGGGTTCCCCAAGCTCAGGGTCACGAAAATCACGAGAAGCCCACACCGCGCCTTCTGCAGAAACTCTTTGTCAGCGGTCATGCCCCTGTAGGCGTGTCCCAGCGCTCTCCAAAAAAAGGCCTCTCTCTCCAGACTCCTGGCCTTCGGCCTTTCGACTTCCCATCACCGGCTCCAGGGCCCTGCGCCATCCCACAATCTTCACCATATCCGAAAATCTTTATGCGAAGAGCCCCCCATGCGAAGTGGCCCAGAGGCACGAAAAAGAGCAGCATGCTGTTTCAAGAGCGCACCTCAAAGGGCTGGATGATCGGCCGTCCCCCGGAACCTGGCGACGCTTCGCAATTCGCAGTTGCGCAGAGAGCTCAGAATTCACTTGAGGGTCGCCTGCCATAGAGATTGTCTTGCCATAGCTGTTGCCGCCCCCTTAGGGTCATCCAAAGTCCTGCTGTAGAACTCTTGCAGCCTGGTGCCAAGGCTGGGGCCTTCGATGTCAGATGGAACCTCAGGCAGATCTTGTCCGCGACAGCTTGTGCATCGCAAGTGTTGAAGAGACTGCTTAGGAGGACAGTTTACAACCAATTCCGGGCTTTGGCACGGGCATGGGCTTTCCCAGGCCATGGAACATGCTCGGCAGAAAAACACGAAGAAAAGCGCCTAGCTCGGACAAAGTCCTAACATTCTTATAGGCCTGCGAGGGCCTTCGAGGCGCCTCAGGCTTCACTTTGGGCTTGCGGGAAATCGGCGCGAAGCATGCTTCCCAGAGGCACGAGCGACCAGATACTGAGATCTCCACTACCTCTGGCGCTGTGTGGCGGGGTCTCATGGCTCACACACGATCAAGCAGAGTCAAGATATTGGGAGGATGGACTGGGGCTCAGAAACAATCGTCGACAGTCGCTTCACTTGTGTTTGGGTTTGAGGTGGACTGTGAGTGTGCAGGTGACAAGGGAGCGCATGGACATGTGTGTGCGTGTGGGGTGTGGGAGCGGAACGGAGTTGGGGAGGGGCTTCATCCGCTTGAAGTGCGACAGGGCGTACTTGAATGCCACTTTCTACGCACGCAGTGTCTCAAAACTTCGCAAATGAGCCACGGAAGGCAATGCCATCACATCCCGCAATGCTGACTTCAAACCAGGGCAAGAACTTGCATGTAGTGCATGCTCAATACGGCAAGGCCATTTTGCTGCACGAGGCTGACTTCTGGCTGCCCAGCGTAAGGAGGGCTGACTCAGCTTCACTTGTGTTTGGTTGCACTGAAACTCAGAAGCAGAGGGAGATGACGCGCTCATGCTGAAGACGGCCGAAGCTGAAGAACCTCGGGAAGGTGAACTCTGCGCCAGCCCAGACAACCTGAGATTCTGAGCGTCAAGGCCCAGCCCTTGGAGGCGGCAAGCCGATGGCACAGATCCTAAAAGGCACTAGAAAGGTTTCGCGAATCCGGATGCAACACAAACAACACATGCCATTGCCAGGCCTCCACATCCCTTGCGGGATGTATGTCTTCAAGGCAACAGTCTACATCGCGCCTGAGCGAACAAAACAAGTGCTGCATCCTTCAGAAGGGATGGATCTCTGCCACCAAGAAGCAGGATCGGATGCCGGCCTCGAGACAGGAACTGACGCCAGGCATCTTCGACGATCTTCGACGTAACGCATGTGCCCATATGCCATATTCCCCCCCCCCCGGGCGAAGGCCTGTGCTTGCAACCCACCGCACTGCCGCGCTCTGCTCGAAAACCTCAACGTCATTCGTTTAAAGCTGCATCATTTCAACAACAGGCCATGGCACCCGTGCATGAATGTAAGAGAACACACACACACACTGCGATTTCGCAGTGCGCAGAACTTTTGGGGCTGGCAGCGACTTGCAATGACTTGCATGTTGCAGCATCTCCAAGCCCAAACGAGCAACAAGACATTGACAGCCGCTTCCTTTCTTCTGCTTCTTGTCCGTGCTCAAGATGATTCGGCATGCACAGAAAGCAATCGTCGTCGAGCAGGTCATCGGGGCGGGTTGAAAGGAAAAAACAGAAGCTATTGGTGCACTCTTCGGCTTCTTCAATATCTGCTTGTCACCAAGAAGGAGTCTCTCTGAGTATCCGGCAGAGCCATGCAGCACTGTGGGCTTCACAAAGAACTGGCCGGTAATGGGACAAAGCCTTGTTGACAGGACATGTTATCGTGGCGCGAGTGCGGGGACTGCTTGGCCTGTGGATGACTGAGATGACCCGCACACCACAGCGTAACGCTCAAGTCCGACTTTTCACATTACGCGGTGCGTGCTCCTGCTTTACATGTCCATGTTGAAGAAAGGAAGATCCGCGCGTCGAGCATACTCTTTGTGCCAACGAAACCAATCTGCAGGATTCTACGGGGTGCTCCAGTGCTCCGATTCAGAGGTGAGAGCAGACCAAAGTTTCGATCAACTCAGTCACCGAGAGCCGAAGAAGCGGAGGAATGTGGCCTTCCTGGGTCTCGGACACAGGCTTTTTGGATGGCTTTTAAGCAGGACGTCTTGCGCCACCCTTGTGCCTCTCTGACCAAAGTTCCATGTTAGTGCATTCAAGATGCATGCTGCCTTCATCCACAGGAGGAGTGATCCATCGGACATCGACAATCTAGCGCAGGAGGCGTTTGATCACTCTTGTACAGCTTTATGACACGGCAGCCTTTGTGCAAATTGTTGCAAATATGTCTGCCTTTCGCTTGTCCTGAGCGTTGAAGTCGAGGACGATTTCAAAATCCGTGCCATCCTGAGCAGAGCAGATGATGACGTCAGCTTGAGGAATCTCCATTTCAGAGCCCAGTGCCTTCAGACAGTTTAACAGGAAGTCTCTGTCATCCTCCACCCGGCCAGGTCCTGCGCCATGTTCGAAACAATCGGTTGCCTCTGCCCTGCAATCTGCCCTGCAATCTGCCCTGCATTCTGCCTTGAAAGTTATGGGGAGGCATACTTCACTGACAAAATAAACTAGCACAGTGTGCCCATATGTGCCCTTCCAGTGTCAGCATCTGCCCGCAGAGTGCCACGCAAGGAAGAGCGGCAGCATCATCCCTTTTCAGCATTATGTGTCGAGCTGAAACTAGTAGAGCTCTTCCACTAAGGATAGAAGGAAAAGCTCGATATATCGGCAACGCAGTCAGGCACACTCACGAGAGTTATCGTTGTGGAGAAGTGTCGAAACTCGCAACTCGTAGTCGTGGTGGGAGGTTTGCGGCGCCTTGAGCACTAGTACGCCCCTGCCCAAGCAGTGCGAGAAGGTACACAACGGTGGCTTGACAGCTCCAGTCGTCCTTTGACGATTGTAAGGCCAGGAGGAACGCTTCCTTGGATGCCCAGCAGTTTTTACATTCTCTGCTCTTGATGTGCCGATGAGACAGGTAGCCTGCAGCATCTGGATACCTCAGGCATCTCAGTGTTCGGTGAGCAACTCATGCTCACGGACGTCGCACCATTTGCTCTGCGCAGTCTGTGGTCTGTGCATGCCTGGCCGCAGAACCAAGTCTGGATCTTCATCCACCATGATTGTGAAGCGCTGGTCTTGCTGTCGGGAGCACTTGGCCTCAGCGTGCTCAACTTCAAAACCTAATGCAGAGGAGCAATAGCCATAGCGGGAAGACTTTTGGGGGGCTCGGTTCCTTGCCTCTCCTCGCAGCACAAATGTCCCTGGCCTGCATCACGACAAAGGACGCGGCACACGGAGGCATGCCAGCATCAAACAAGCAGCGCACTGCACTCGCCTCTCCCCTGGAAGCATCTGTTCTGGCGTCCAGTCGTTAAAGCTGCCCAACACCCAATAGCTGTGGCCTTCAGGATTTGGCAACGACACATCATGGCAAACCCGCAAATTCCCTTTCACTGAGAGATACTGAAAGTCATGGAAGGACAGCAGGATGGAAGGACAGAACTGGACAGATGGAGCTGGGGGTCGGACGCGCCGGACCGGTCACCCCGCTGGCGATCCATCCAGAGTCGGGTCTTATCAGGCTCGCAACGCTGACCTTGACAAGGGCATCAACAATCTCCAGCCGGATCCTCACGGACTCCCCATACTTTCCCGTGATCCTCCAACACTTGGAGTTGCCAAGTGCATCTGGCCCACGCACTGGAATCTCGGCTGCTCCAGAGTCCAAGGCAGGCTTGGCAGGATAGATGAGCTGCTCCTGGTCCTGATCCCGCACGAAGTAGAAGGACTCCGAGCGTGACATGCCGATGCGGACCGTGGCCTCAAAGCTGCCCTCTTTTGCACCGGAGCTCTGCATCTCCAAGCAGTTCCAGGATGTCCAGGAGCCAACCACAAAATACCGGTGGCGAGACTTGGCCCCGAGGAGCTTGGGAACCGAAACGCCACCACCGGTGAGCATGGTGTCGGCACGCTGCCAGTGCACCCGAAGCCGGAGGCCCCACTGAAGCGTGATGCGGAAGTGAGTCCCGGCGGGAATCTCGTCATCGCGCCCATCCATCATCCAGAACTTTCCTTTGCCCTCGCCATGCGGTCCCACAACCCGCGTGGTCATGGAACCATTGTTGACATAGGGATAAATCGCCAACTCAGGGTTTTTCATGAGGCAAAGCTGAAATCTTTCATAGCGGGTCTCTCCTAGGACCACCATGCAACTCCAGCTATCGCCGTCTGTGCTGGGCGTCATCTCCGTTGTCTGTTTGAAGCAGTCCCAGGAGCCGACTATACCGATCCCACTGTCTGGCCTGTCCCCTGCCATCTCTTCGGGAGGGCTCATTTGGAACTTGCCGTCATACAAGCTACTGTTGTAATCATACTGGTCAAACTCATCCCGAATGTTGTCACAGCGATATCTGCCCCTGTTTCTCGCGATCCTGGAACCCGATGTCGGAACTTCCTTCCCATCCACATAGTGCATAGGGCCTTCGTCGAAGGGACAGCTCACGACCACATAGTCCACCTTCTCTAAGTTGACTTTTCCTGGCTTTCTAGGACCTCTGCTTGCCACGGCATAGACGTCAGCACGGGCATTAGCCCCACCGAAGCCAAACGAGGAAACACCCGAGTAGCCAGACTGGTTGCCATACTCTGCAAGCTCCGTGTTGAATACAGTAGGGTACCCATTCACATCCAAGTGCGGGTTCAGTATGTACAGGTGACAGTTGGGGGTCCCGGCACAGGAGTTGCACATCAGCATGCACTTGATAATGCCAGCTTGTCCAGCGTTGGCTTCGAGATGGCCGATGTGGCTCTTGGCGCTCGTCTGCATGATGGGGGCTTTTCTGTCCTGCATGACTCCCCGCAAGGCGCCTACTTCAATGGGATCTCCCAACGCTGTGCCTGTCCCGTGAAGCTCGGAGCAGGTAATCTGGTTGGCTGTCAGCCCCGCCTCTTTCATGGACCCACGCACACATTCCTGCTGAGACGGCCCATTTGGGGCAGTCATGCTGGCACTTCTTCCGTCTTGGTTTAAGCAAGCACCAATGACCGTGGCTATGGCTTCGCGCGTGACCCGCTCTTCGCTACGAGCAAAGAAGCAGGATGAGCCTTCACCACGTTCGAAGCCGTCCGCAGACATGTCAAAGGTGAAGCACCGGCCACTTATGGACAGCATGTGCGGACCACATAAATTGATGTAGTTCCCCGGGCCTGGGATCAGATTTGCACCACCCATCAGTGCTTCGGTGATACCGGAGTCCTGACCGGCCCGAGTCTGCTGCGCTGTGACCTGCCTCAAGGCGGTATGTCCGACGCCGTAAGCCACAAGCGCCGAGGAGCATGCTGTATCAAGCAAGGCCTGGGGTCCCTGAAGGCCCAAGTTGTAGCAGATTCGGCCTGCTATGTTGGACCACTTCCGGGCTTGGTACCCGTAGCGGTGAGCATCCGAGCCGCCCACTGTAAACCTGGGATCAATAGAGAAGTCATCGCCGCTGTGTCCTATGTAAACTCCGACGCGCTTCCCCCTGACATCCTTCTTCCGCAAGCCGGTGTTGAACAACGCCTCGTAGCTCCTCTCCAGAAGCTGCCTGGCCGCGGGAGCCAGCATGTAAGCTTCCTCCTCGGTAACGTTGAAGAAGTCATTGTCGAAGGAAAAAATGTCTTTGCAGAAGCCCCCATGCACCGTGTATGTGAAACCAATCTGCCATTCATCGCCCGTTCTTGTGTATTGCTCAATGTCAAACCTATCGATGGGAGCATAGATGTATCCATCCGTTCCCGATGCGACTGCACACCAATAGCTGTTCAGCTTCTCGAAGGCAGCGGCAGGGAGTGAGAGCCCAACACCATAGACGCAAACACGTCGACCTTCGGGGGTGTTTGGTCCTGACACGAGCCCGTAAAGCTCGTCTTTCGCCTTCTGATCACCGTCCACTTCTCCGAATTGGAATTGAGGTGGTGCTGTCAACACCCAAGCTTGCAAGACTAGGTCATCCTCGGAGTCTGGTCGATAAGCGTAGCTGATTCGATCATGCCGAAACACGACCAGCCGACCTGCTTGTGCTGCTAGGACAATTTGAGTACCGTCCTTTGGGTAGAGCGACAGCTCGCCACCGCTGCCGTGCGCCATCAGAAACATGCAGAGCTTTCGACGCTTCAGGAAGTCTACATGCTCATCGACAAGGCCCTTTGCAATGTCTTCATCGCTAACAGTCTCAGCGACACCCGCACCCTCCGAGGAAGCTGGAACGCGCAGCATGCCACTGGTCCGGCTGTGCGGCATGAAATCCAGAGCAAAGGGTGCCACAGGCAAGAGAAATTGCGTGAAACGAGCAAGATACAGGTCGAGGAGGTCAACAGGACTGTCCTTGGAGTTTGCATGAGCTTTGGGCATCACATGACCTGACATGACCTGACATGACACTGGGGGGGGGGGGGCTTGCACAGTCTGAAGCTATGGGTGCCGAAGCTATGGTGCCAAAAAAGACTAAGTCCAGCTCCATCTCTTGCTTCTCTTCGACCATCTCCTCCAGCCAAGCCGTCTTGCACTTCCTGGATATCAAAGACACGTCTGACTGCGAAGCCCGCGCACCCACCCTTCTACAAAGCTTCCCAAGATGCTGTTCAGGGCACTGATGTCTGCCCAAGTAAGAGGGTTCGAACTCCCTGCGGAGCCGCTTCCATCTGTACCTCGCATCTTGCGTGACGAGCGACTCGCACAACATCATCATGGTCTGCAGTCTGCAGGGGCCTTCCACAAGTCACCTCCACTTGTGCTTCCTCGGCCTGTTCCTCACCTCAGCACTCATGCTCCCCACACCGAATAGGGCAACGGTTCCTGGCTGGTGTGATTTTCCTAATCGCATAGGAAGCCTCAAGAGCTTTTGCCAGGAATGACAAGCCGAGCCCGAAACAAGGATTTCAGGTGAGAATGCTGAGGTATGACAACATGCAGGCTCCTATCAGCTCACAATTGGCACATGTCGACTGGTGACAGCAGGTGGCCGGATAAAGTAATGCCACACTCCGATCCCCTGTCAACTTTCCCTTGCCGTTTTGGGGGGCACGACTGGATGCGGCAGATTCTACAGCGGTCAGAGAGTCCAACATGCTCAGCAACTGGGATACAGGCTCAAAGGAAGCTGGATAACGCAATAGCCTTCCCTGGCCAAAGCATCCACAGCCCGAGCTGTAAAGCTGCCAAGGGCATCCATGTCGCCTCAGTGCCAAGGGGACCGAATGGCAGCAGATGGTGGTTTCCGAAACTAGGGGTACCTTTTTGGGGTCCTTATTATCAGGGAATCTGTTAGGATTCCCCTGTCTTCGAAAACCCCCTCAAATGAGTGAACAGATGAGTGAAAGTCCCTGCGAAGCAGCCAGGCCACCGTCTGGAGGCCACGCAACATGGAAGCCTCCCCGCTCTGGGTGAGGCACAGCATCCTGCGGAGACACGTGAGCCTAGCTGAGTCTAGCCCAGACAATGAAGAGCGCCTACTCTGCTCTAAGAACTTCCAGCAACAGGCGTGTGCAGATATGCTTAGGGTACTCTTAGGATACTCCACACACTGCCCCGAATGGATGCCCCCCCCGCAGCAAGCCCGACAGGTTGGATCCTGGTCTGCGGTCATGTCGCAGGCAGGCTGGTCTAGAGCGTATGGTAACCTAGGGGCCCTAAGGGTGTCTGTGTCAGGTCTGAGGCTGAAGCCTCTGGCTTTGCGGGGCTTAGGGGTTGAGGAGTCCGGGGCTATAGGAGGCTCTCGGGATTCATGCTTTGAGAGTAGGCATGCGGGAGCCCACGTGCCAGACTCAGAGCCATAAAGGCTACGGAGGTTGCAGATTTCACATTCTTGCAGAAAGCCATGCCATACAAAAAGGAAGCCTTAAACGAGTTGAGAATGCTGCTTTCATGCGACCACTGAGCAAAGCTAATAGGGCGCATGCAGATCATGCGGCACATGATCATCGACATCTGCCCCATCCTGCGGAAAAGCGAAACATCGCTCAGGCCAAGATGGCCTGTTCAGCACGGTGCCATTGCAAGAATCAGTCCTCTGCAAGCCAAGCAAACTCAACGTCCTGCTCCTGACACGCTGGGGCTACAATGACAGCTTCCGGCCACCAGAAACTGACCGGCCTTGTCCATTGCATCATCAGAAGTGCCAGCAGCTAACCTCAGCTTAGCTGGAACCAGCTCAGAATGCTCAGAGGGCCGCTGTACGGTTCCCTCCGCACTGAGTGGCACTCATGGGTTTTGCCCCTTTGTTGAGATTGTGGCCGCTTTAGAAGCCGCTGACAGTTCTGCCACAACGACGATGCAACTGTCGGCCTTACTGTGAGAACAAGGCTGTCGATGAGTCGATGAGCACCTACTTCTGAACACTGTTGTGATGCAAGCCTTTTGACTCTGCTTTTCTGGGGCTGCCAACAGGAGCATGTGCCTGTGCAGCTGGGCCTCTGATCAACAACTCAGCGTGACGATGTGTGTCTTCAGCACGAAGCACGTGCCTCTCGCAGAAGCCCCTCCAGGCCGGCCACAACATAAGGTGAAAGAACCTCACAAGGCTATGTCAAGTAAGGAGGTGATTAGAGCAGCCACAAGAGAGTCAAAATCTAGGTTATGCTTCCTGGTCAAGTGCTTCAAAGATGTTCAACTTCTTGAGTTTGAGAAAGGCATCGCATCATGGTATCATCTGAGGTACTGCACACGAGGACATGTGAAAGCACATCGCAGCGAAGGGAGCCTGGGAGAGTTGCACACACACACACACACACAAAAGCCCCAAGAGGGCACCGTTCAGTCGAAGGAGGCTAAGACTAAGGGTGAGGCAGTCCTATCCATCATGCTCCAGGCATGGGACGAAGCCTCACCGAAGCTGGGCCTACCCAACTCAAAAGGGCACCAGTTGAACACAACTCAGATTCTCAGATGGCAGCTGGAAGAAGCGCCGCAGCGGAGGAGGCGATACCATGCAGCACCTTTCACTTGCCAGGGGCAAGGCTTTGTCAAAAGACAGAGCTGCCCATTGTAACACGGGCCTGGCGGAGTTCGACTGCCATGCGGCCGATGCAGACGCCAGTGATGGCCCCAAGCCTTCGAGCTCAAGCTGTGACAATGTGCTGACCACAAGGAAAACAAGGAAAAACCAAGGCCGCACAGAGGCCGGCACAGGTTGAGCTCCATGCCATGTATCGTCAGCGGGCTAAGCCTGAAAACCATGGACACAGATGTCGGACAGAGACAGAAACAAAACACCCAACAGGGCGCCACACATCTCATCAGGCTCTGGTCTGTACCTCACATGGCAAGAGACGTAGTTCTCACATTATCTTCCCTGCCGTACATCAACCAAAACAGAGAGAGGCCCCGTTCCTTAGGTGCCCGGCTGAACCCATCGAAAAGGCGGCAAGTTCAGGCGGTTCGCGACCTTGATTTGCGGAGGCAAGTGTCGTTTGGCTTTTCAATGTTGCAATGACAATGGAAGCGGGTCAAGTCAAAGCACTGTCCACCACGGTCAAACCGTTGCAAATGTTTTTTCCGAACATTCCGGCTCGCAAAAACGAAGATGGAACCCCGGCTCGCAATCGTCCTTGGAGAAGAACTTGCGATCTCCACACTCTGCTGGAAGGTAACCTTGAGGACAACCTCGTGTATACCCTGCTGATGGATTGTACACGTAGCCGTCGCCGTAGCCGAGTGCCCTGAGAAACTGCTACGTATGACAACGCAATACATCATAAATCACGACATGCTCCTGTAACCTGTATTGGTTAAGTGATGTTTTAGATACTACCTCTGAAGGCAAAACGTGAACCTAATTGCAAAGCGTAGTAGCTTCATCATTTTCGTCGGGGCGTTGCGAATGTGCAGTGGGACTGGCGCATGAGGCTCCTTGTCGCAGATCTCCTTGGCGGCTGCATAAGCCCGGTAGACAGCACAGCTCTTGGGTGCGAGCGCCAAATAAATCACGCATTGCGCTATCACCACCCCAGCTTCTGGCATCCCAATGGCGTGGACAGCTTGATCGGCAGCTACAGCCTGACTCAGCGCCAACGGATCTGCCAAACCTACATCCTCAGATGCAAATCGGATAAGCCGACGTGTGATGTAGCGTGGCTCCTCACCAGCTGTGAGCATGCGCGTGGCGTAGTACAGTGATGCATCTGCACACCCACCTCTCATGCTCTTGTGCAAGGCACTTATCAAGTCATAGTGGAAGTCACCATTGCGATCATACAGAGCACGCTTTTGGATTGCTGCTTTAACTGTATCACCATCGATTGGTGAGCCTGGTTCTGCCAATTGAGCCGCGAGCTCGAGGGAGTTCAGAGCTACACGTGCATCACCATCTGCCGCGTTGGCTAGAAGGAGCCGTGCATCGCAGGTAAGCGTACGGCCTGCTAGCACCAAATCGTCGCGTAAAGCACGATCAATGACATGTCCAATCGCATCGACGGATAGCTTCCCAAAGACGACCAGGCGACAACGCGACAGAATCGCATTGTTTATGGAGAAGGACGGGTTTTCAGTCGTGGCGGCAATTAGTGTGATTGTGCCCTTCTCACAGTCGAGTAGCAATCCATCCTGCTGTGCCTTGGACCAACGATGGAACTCGTCCACAAACAGGATGGTCCCCAGCTTGCGCAGCTTAAAGGTGCCAGCAGCCCTACTCAATTCCTCGCGCAGCTCCGCCACACCAGCCTTGCAAACCGGACTAAAACGGGACTCAACAGGACTTGAACGATGGCCAAACTGCCTGAAGGGAACACCTCGGTTCTGAGGTTTTGTGAGGCTTTTAGAATGTATCGGATCTCATAGGGAGGGCATATACAGGATATACAGGGTATACCGTATACCAAAGTGCCAGCCTTGGCAGCAGAAAGCGACCGAAATGATCGTCTTGTTGCCGCCGCCACACAATGTGCGAAGGACGTTTTGCCACAGCCAGGCGGGCCCCAAAGAATCAGAGAAGGCAAGTGATCCTCTTGCACAGCCTGTCGCAAGACGGCTCCCAAAGCATCCTCTTGTCCCAAGAGGTCATCCATTTCTTTTGGGCGCATGCGCTCTGCGAGCGGGGCGGTGGATGTCATTGCTGGCTTTGTATGCGCCACATCGACCACGCTTGGAGACTTCAGTTGAGAGCTGGCTTCCACCACATCAATAGCTGTCGGGTCCTGGGATGATTCGGTTTTCGGGCACTTCCGCCTATCAAAGAAGCTTGGCACAGAGGGTGCGGATCGCTTTGGCGCATCAGCTCTTGCCGACTGATCATAGTGTAAGTTCAGCGCGACTCCGACATCGTTGCCGGCTCTGTGCAACAGCTTCTTGAGGTCAGCGTCGTCTAACGTGTGGCCCAAGATGTCACGCAAGGCAACCACTGCGTTGTCATTGCTCTCGGCCATGTGTCTTTCATATGTAGAACAACCTAACACAACCTACAACAGCTCACAGCAGCTCGGCCAGCAGCTATAACAAGAGACAAGCATGGCCAGTGTGCCAAGACTGCCTGACGCAACTAATATATAGTCATCATCCACCATGACACGCAGGACTGCATTCGAGGCAAGGGCATCCAGTACCAGTTTGGCCTGGCAGTTGTCAACAGACACACAGACAAAAATAGACAGAGAGACAGTGAGACAGTGAGCAAGAGAGGAAAAGAGACAGAAAAGCGAGAGAGAAGGAGAGAGCGAGGAAAGAGAGAGAGAGAGAGAGAGAGAGCGAGAAGCGATGGAAGAAATAAGGGAAAAAATATCTATATATACATATATACACATATATATATATATATATATTCAGCAAAACGGACAGACAGACCAACAGGCAGGCCAGGCAAAGAGAGTGACAGCATGATTGTGCCTAGATTTCCTGACAAGGCGTGGCGGAAGGGCATGGAAGCCGGAGACCAACACAGAGAAGGCTGGAGACGGCAGGACCTGGCAGGCGCTACATGTATCATTCCAAACACTGGACATAACAATGCTAGTAACCCGTAAATAACTCATGATGAGAAAGGGTGCAAATGATATCACACCAGCCTCTGGATAGCTTCTCTTCATACGAAGACAGGCTGACCTCCGGCTACATCTCATCAGCCACGGGGAAGCAGACACGAGGCTAAGGCCCTAAGGCGGGAGCAATCTCCTCATCCAGGGATGAACTCTTGGAGAAAGCAAAGCAATCATCACCTCAGCACCAAGGAACTAAGAACAAAAACAGCATCAAAGGACGCAGTTGGGCCCGGACCTGGCAGGTCACCTGAAAAGCCGTCTCCAACGTTTCGAAGGGGCGCTTCAGGCGACAGCTCCTTGAGCTGTACATCAGAAAAGCTCTGGGAATATCCACGTGAGTATCACGAGATTCTGAACGCAAAGATCTGCGGCCCGCGCTTCTTGGAAGCTTGAGCCTCGAAGTTATGGGCTCGTCGGTATCTTTGGAGGAGCCTGTCATGGCACAGCATGGCATAGCTACCGCCACGCAAGATCTTTTGTCATTGTTCTGCTCGCGCCTCTGGGCTTCTGTGGCCCACTCCTCTGGTTCTTCGGGAGTGCGATAGCCAAGGTCATCTGAGAGAATTTCCTGGCGGGCAGAGGCAAGCGGAAATGGTGGCGAGACATCACCGTTTTCCCACCTCAGAGGCCATGCTCCGACAAAGTTTGGAAAGGCTGTTGATTAAAAAAACTCTCGATAATCTTTTGTGTGTGATGACTTTGCTCTGTCCAGTCTGCGTGTATCAACATTCACTGCGCGTGAGTCTGGAGCAGGTTGCAGGTTGGCGTGAATGCTTGTTGTCCATGGAGCATGACGCATTTGCTGCCTGTCGCAGCAAAAATCCGAAGCGAAATGAAGAATATGAGCAGCATACGCCGCGGCAGCCCGTCCCACCAAGCCAGATCGTCGCAACTCCTAGTTTTTGCTTTTCGATCTCGAACCGATACTTCTCCTGAGGCGGTGGTAACAAAATGCGTCTAGGGCCTAGGGTAGGTCGTGCATGGACAGGCCATGACTGCAGCTCACAGCTACCAGCTTCGTATTGCAGAAAGGCTTCGTGCAGCCAGCTCTCCCGCACAAGCTTCACAGGACAACCCCCACAAATGTTTGATCACATATTGCGCTTCTATGAATCAAAGCACATGAATCGCACGTTCACCCTGCACCCTAAACCGCGCACTGCGCAACACCCTAAATCCAGAATCCTAAAGCCTCACCCTTAAACCGCACACGACAATCCAAACCTCAAACCCCACAACATGCATCTGAAACCTCAAACCCCCGAACTTACACACAAAACTCTGCGGGACCTCAGGCCGATTTGCCTGACACCGTGCCTTGTGCCTGTTGTCGGCAAGGCGGCGAAATAAGTTTCGAGGAAAACGAAACAAGCATCCCCCCTGAATACCAAGCTGACAAGTGTGGACCCCGACCTGGAATTCAGGGCCTTCACTACACCCAAACTGCTCAGGCGACAGCCAAGTTCGATACACAACTTACCTTTCACGCCCTGCCACGTTTACTCCTGCAGGTGCCATGAAGCTAAAATGATTTCGGGTGCACGGACAACAAAGTCAGCCTCAGCATGGGGAATACGGAACGGGAGGTGAGCATAGTGAGAGGGTTACTGCAAGGGACGCCTTTGTCATCATCGTTCGGGCATGGTGCTCTGGCATGCTCTGGCCAATGGATGCACTATCATGACGCTATCATCGTTCTGGCCAATGGACGTACTGGTAGCATGGACTGGCTGCATGGACGTCAACATCGTTAAGGCACGGGTAGCATGGACGTTATCACGGTGTGGGCATCGTGGCTGCGCCTGACTGGGTGAGCGCCTGAGGCCATAGTGGCCATAGTGGCCTTTGCTACATCCCCAGTTTTGCCACCTGCATTTGATTCTGTGCTTCTTGAGCACCGTTGAAGGAAAGTGCAGGCAGACAAGGCGTTCAATGTAAACTGCGCTGCTCGTGCAATCGTGCATGCCGTGGGTTTGATGTTGCTGTTATCGTCCTGAACAGGCACCCTTAGGACCCTTAAGAGGTGAGAAAGCCGGCATTGCAAAACGAGGTAAGTTCAAACACTCACCCGTTGGCCTTGGCCTTGCCTAGGAATCGCAATGCAAAATGATGTCTCTGCACCTTCCGGCCGAGTTCACAATCAGGCAGATCCGTGTTGGAGCTCGAGCTGCTACGTAATGAGAACCTCCAGTTGAGGCGCAAACGGGAAGATCAGCAGTTGCTAAAACACGCAAAGCCGATTTGCGTGTGGGACATATGAAAGAAGCTCGAGTCTGTGACTCGGACGGGCCAGCGACCTTTTAGGCAGGGTGTTAAGACCTGTAAACTGAACCGACTCTTGAGAGCCCAACACATCCATTGGCCAGAGCACCATGCCAGAACGACGAGAACGTCCATGATGATGGCATCCATATGATCGGTGCATCCATTGGCCAGAACACCCGGACATCAATTGCAGAGCACCGTGCCTGCACGATGATAACTTTCCATGCTACCCATGCCCAGATGATGATGACGTCCATGCTACCAGTGCATCCATTGCCCAGACCAGCATGCTCGAACGATAGCAGCTTCATCGGGTAACCCAGTCGCAGACAAAAAGTGTAGGCAGCGGTGGCAGCAGCCAGCAGCTCGTGTACACGGATCGCGAACGAACCCTTGCGACCCTGGAGCGTTTCCGTCTGGAACAGTCAACAAACGCCTATTGCAGAATATAGGAGGAGGAGGAGGAGGAGGAGGAGGAGGACGGCACGCGGCAGTAACCGCTGCCTTACAACCACGTCCCCCCCCCGTATCTCAGGAGAGCTCCGTAAGCGTCATAGCTCGCCTCCACGAGGGGTTCAAGTGGAGGACTAAACTAGACTATGCATCCAAGTGGCCAGGAAAGGGATGAGAGGGGCAAGGAGGGCAAGAAGCGGAGAAGGGACTGAGAGGAGGCAAGGGAAAGGAAGAGGCCGAAGCCTGGGGGTGAATGCGGGAGCCCTGACAGGGAGGGAGACGACAAGGGGCCGGCGAGGAAAAAACACAAGCGAAGGCCAAGGGTGGACCAGAAACAACCCCCCCCACGAAGCGCCAGGGAGGGGGGGTTGAGAAAAGGGAAAAAAAAGGAGGAAGCAGACGCCCGCACAACCAAACCCACCCCAACACCCACACCCACCCACACCCCCGCCCAAGCCCGCGCCCGAAGCACCCACGCACCCACGCACCCACGCACCCACGGCACGCACCCACGCACAGAGCATAAGAGGCACGGCGTGCAGCGCACAGGAGCTCTATTTCACGCGGCACGCAAAGGAACGAGGTGAGGGTCTATGTACACTGCCAAACCTTCTGCCTGTAGAGCCTGCGAGGCGCGACGCAGGAGCGTCGAGCAGCACGTGGCCTCAGCGGCCGGGAACTGCGAGCAGAAGAGAGAGAGAAGCTGCTCCATGTCGGAGCCACCGGAGTGGCGGATGTTGGTGAGGAGCCACCGGCGGACTCGGCGGAGTCCGGGCAGGGGCAAGGGTCCCTGCTGAGAGCCGGCACCTGGGCAGCACTGTGACGCCGCCAGGCGGAGGTGCGCGTGGAGAGGCTCGGAGAGAGGGATGGGGCGCCTGCGCCAGCGCGGGTTGGAGGCCAGCTGCTTAACCCAGTCCCACCAGCAGTCAGGGCACAGCGTGGGGACGCCTGCCAAGGAGATCTTCGGAGGCAAGGGAGTGGCGATCAAGTGGAGTGCCACGCTTGCCGAGGAGTTTGTCAACCTGATCGCTCCGAGAGCGCGGCAGAGTGAAGTCACGCATACCCCCTTCCCAAATATCCCAGCTGGTAGCCCCGTTTTCGAGGATCCCCGAGGCACGGAGGGGGGGGGAAGCCTCATCCCAGTCGGAAGCGTAGGCAGAGAATTTGGGCCAAGCAAAGCCAACGCCGGAAGCGCGGCTGCCTAGGGAGAGGGAGCGGAGGACGGCGGGTAAATCAGCGACACCACTCCCATAATGTTCGATGTCATCCACATAACCAGCCGCCACAACCCGCCGACCAGTGCTGGTGACGTAAGCAGCGCCGTCCGAGGAACGGAGGCGCAAGATGGGGTCTTGGGCAGCACGAGACAGCTCCGGGGAGGAAACGGAGCCCTGTGGGACGCCACGCGTGACGCTGATAGGGCTGGAGAGGCCTGCCCGGGTGTCGAGCAGGACCTGGGAGTGTGCGAAAAGAGATTGGTGCAGGCGACGGACACTATCGGGGAAGCCGCGTGCTTGCTGAAGGGCGTCCACCTGAGGAAGCTGGAGAGTGTTGAAGAATTTCTCATAGTCAGCGGGGACGCGCAGAAGCGGCCTGCGGTGGCGCAAAGCATCCTCGCAGACCAAGCAGTCAAGGTACAGGACCTGCACCGCGGCGGGGACGCCTTTAGCGTA